GGCTGGCTGGCATGTGGTGCTGGGGGATCCAACCGTGGTCCCTGTGCTTTGCTAAGCTTGTTCCAAGTAGGTGCTTTAGACCACTGAGCCATCTCATCAGCCCCGCATTTTTCAATTTTAGAGTCAGGCTTCTTTTCTATTTTGAGACCAGGTCTTGCTAAGTAGTTCAGGTTGGCCTTGAGCCCTTGTCCTCAAACCTCCTCGATCTCCTTGTGCTGGGATAAGTTATACGCCAGCACGTCCAGCCGCTTGTTTGTGGGTTATTGTTGGGGGTGGTGGTGGGGTTTGCAGTGCTGAGGACAAAACTCATGGTCTGGAGCAAGCTGAGCAAGCTCTGCACCAGGGAGGTGCACCTCCCTGGCCTTTTGAAATTTAACTTTAAAAATTTGAGACAGGGGGGCTGGAGAGATGGCTCAGTGGTCTAAAGCACCTACTTAGAACAAGCTTAGGGTCTGGAGAGATGGCTCAGTGGTCTAAAGCACCTACTTGAAACAAGCTTGGCAAAGCACAGGGACCTCGGTTCCAATCCCCCAGCACCACATGCCAGCCAGCCCCGCCCCCTGGTGGGCTGAGCTGGCCACACACACACACACACACACACACCACACTCTCTCTCTCTCTCTGTCTCTCTCTCTCTTAAATAAATAAAAGTAAGAAAAATTAAAAAAAAAAAATTGAGACAGGGTCTTGCTAAATTGCCCAGGAAAATGTTTGCAAAGCTTCTCCAGTTTGTGCAACATTACTACGCGGAATAGGTACAGACCTCTGTATTGTTTTATTATTTATTTATTTATTTATTTAATTTTATTTATTTATGTGTGTGTGTGTGTGTGTGTGTGGTCAGCTCAGCCCACCAGGGGGCGGGCTGGCTGGCATGTGGTGCTGGGGGATTGAACCGTGGTCCCTGTGCTTTGCTTAGCTTAGCTTGTTCTAAGGTGCTTTAGACCACTGAGCCATCTCACCAGCCCCTGTATTGTTTTAGTTTCTTAGTACTTGTGCTACCAAGCTCAAGCTACTGTAGTACTTGCTGTTTTAGGGACCCTGGGGGGGCTGTCGCGCAGCCCAAGGGAGTCCGGGTCCGGACCTCTTCCTCGACGCGGTTCCCATCCCAGTCAGCAGGGGTCGCTGTGGAGCCGTGTCGCCGGTCGGTTGTGCCGCCCCAAGAGCCCAGATCCTGACACCCTGTTGCTCACAGCCGAGCTGGGGAGCTGACCCAGTTGCTGGGCTAAGCTCAGACCCAAATGTGGGGCATAGGACAGAGCCCCAGAAGCTGTCTCTGCTGCACGCAACCCATAGCCCACCCGGCTGCCCTTGCTCTGCCGTAACTCAGCCAGGGTGGGGACCAGTGTCCTCTTCCCAGCAGCCAGGAAGCAGGAGACTTTTCTCACAGTCAGATCCAGGATAATCTCAAGGGTCTTTTCATTTCTTTTTCAGTAGTGAAGATTCAACCCAAGGCCTTTGCACTGAACTACAGCTTAAGTAACATCTTTTTGAAAATTTTGAGACAGGGTCTTGCTAAATTCCCCAGGATAGAGTCAAGCTAGAGATCTTCCTGCCTCAGGCTTTTGGAGGGCTGCAACTGCAGGCATGATCTCAGTTTCCACCAGTTCAGAAGCCCCTTTTGGAACTGATGTGGGAAGGGGTCCTGCTGTCTCACCAACCTCTCTGGCTCTGGTTTTACCAGCCACCCGCTCACTACTATTTTAAGTTACAGGCAGTAGAGCCTCAGAGAGGCTGAGTGGCTTGCCTGAGGCCACACAGCAGCAGGCAACTGTCCAAGGCTGGAGCCCTGCCCTGTCTCCGCGCTGGCTGCCTCGTGGGAAGGCCCGACCTGCCTGCCCTCCCGGCACCCCGTGCCCGTCATCTTTCAGTTCGCAGCTCCCTCTTGGCCCCTGTACTTGTCTTGCTTTCTAAGAGTGGTATTTATTTATTCTTGGGATTTCCGTCCAGCATTCGCTGTGCCAGGCCGGCCGAGGAGATGAAGGCGCGGACTGCCTGCAAGTTCACAGTGCAGGAGTCGGGCTTCCTGTGTGTCTGCGTCAGCTGAGTCTTCCCAGGCAGTCCAAAGCCGTCCCAAGGGGCAGAGATTGCTTCCTGCTTCTTCTGGGTAGGGACCTGGATGTCCCCTGCAGCCCACTGTGGCCCTTGACAGGGTGGGGCTGAGCACTGCTGGGAGGATTGGGCTTCAGGTTGAATCCCGAAGGCTGCCTTCTTTTCTGAGAGCCTCTGCTCATGACATCAGCGGGGCAGCAGGGCCCATGATTACAGCACTCAGACCAACAAGATTATGGCCTGGATGCCTCTCCCCTCCCTCATTTCTCTTCTTCTTCTTTTTTTTTTTTTTTTTTGGCAGAGCCCGGGATTGAACTCAAGCCCTTGCACTTGCCAGGCAAGCGCTTATTCTACTGAACCATCTCCCTGGCCCCCCATTTATCTTCTTGAGAAGAGTTTTCTAGCAGAAAATCTTTTCTCCCTTCCCTCTTTTGAGGTTCTGATGATTAAACTCCTGGCCTTGGCCTTAAACTACATCCCTAACCCTTTTGTTACTTTTCTATTTTGAAACAGGGTCAGACTGCCTCGGCCTCAGCAAGTGCTGAAATGACAAGCATTCCGCGGCGCAGCCCTGTCTCCCTGACTCTGTGTTTGGGGCAGATGCTCTCCCGGTGCCTACAAAAGCCCCAGCTTCTAGCTTTCAGCTTTGCACTCTCGATTAAGCAGTGAAGGCCCCACAGCAGAGCTGGACCTATTTAGAGAGGCTGAGACACAGGCTGGGGGGGGGGCTTTGAAGGAAAAGACTGGACCCCAGCACTGAGGAGGAGACAGAGGTGAAGGCAGGTGGCCGGGACAGATGGACGAGTGAGTCCCCACATACAGGAAGAACGGGTCTGTTTAATGACACAGATGGGTCTGGTTACAAACATCAGAAACTACAAAAGGAAGACAGCAGTTGCACGATGACAGCGTGAGGATGGACAGGAGGGGTGCAGGCACAGTAGTCACAGCAGCAGAACTCCCTCCAGGACGATGCATGTGACCAAGGGGCACACAAAGGGGTTGCCCAGCGAGGCCAATGCAGATGGGCCACAGGACCAACTGGCAGCCCGAGGAGGGCAGGGAGAGACAGGGAGGCCCTGTGCCTCTCCTGCAACCCTCAGAACTGCCCCCGGGGCCAGCAGACAGGCTGGCATTCCAGGCTTCTTTACTGGGGTCCCTGCCCCAGTGGTCCCCCAGCGGGAAGCTTCTGAAGGGCCCCTTGGTCTGCCCTTTTGCCAGTTCTAGGACAAGTCAGCAGGAATGTGGCAAGCCGGGCAGTTGGGTCGCCCCAACTCTGCAATCCAGGCTGATCCTTTGTGCTGCTGTGGACTCTACCTGCTCCAGAACACTTTGTGCAAAGGGTGACCGGGACCCCCTGGCCACACACATTAGTGGGTGGGACGGAGGGTCCCAGGCCTCAGACACACAGTATAGATATGCACGTGTGTGTGTGTATATATATATATATATATATATTTATATTTATATAGATTGTATAGAGAATATATCTGTAGAATATATGGGAGACATGTGCAGGATGCTCTAGATGGTGAGGTGTAGACCTGCATGCTGGGCGGCATGATGAAACGAGCTAGTTCGTTCCCGAGTGACTCACAGCCCTGCCTCGCTTCCTGCCGGCCGCTCAGCTAGGTCCTTCTCTAATAGTGAGTAGAAAAGCTAAGAGTGGGCCCCACTCTGCAAGGTGGAAGGGTCCCTGCCCGCCCTGCTGCGCTGGGGTCAGCATCTGGGCAGCCACTGCCGTCTCCTGGCAGCTCAGGGGACGTGGCGGACGCCTCCTTCGGGGAAGACGAGTCGGGGTTCCTCCAGCTTCCTTGGCACCCAGAAATGAAGGGTCAAGGAGGGTCTTCAGAACTCAGCCTTCTGCTCAAGGTGCTGCCAGGGAGAGGGGAGCTGGGAGGGGTCCTATGGCCCTGAAGAGGGCAGCGTGGTGGGTGGGCTGTGGATGAGACAGGAGATGGAGGGAATAGGTTACAAGGGTCAGGGAACCTGGGGGGGCAGACAGGGCACTTCCTGCCGTGATCCAGCGTGGTATGGTGGGAAGCAGTCATTAGGCCCCAGTTCTAGTCCTCCCTGTGCCTCCTGCCTGCCGTGTGAGCCTGGTGGCCCCGAGGAGCCCCAGACCTTTCCTTCTGCAATGTGGAAGTCTGCCTTGCCTGCCTGCTTGAGAACAGAGATGGGGTAAAACAGCATCTCAAGAACTGCAAAGTGCTGTACAAATCTGAGCATTTTCCTATTCATTCTGAGGCGTGCTCCACTGTGTTCCGCCTGCCGAGATCTTCGCTAGATCTTCCCCGTCCATGTGCAGTACACGCATGCAGCCCCTCTCAGCTTGCTGACCGCTTCCCACCAGGCCACCCTCCACCCACACAGCGGCGCCCACACCCTGAATCAGAGACAGTTCAATAAACAGTGGCGTCTGGCCCGCCACTGCTTCCAGATAAGAGCGGTTGGACGCGGCCTCAGAAGTCAGCTCTGAGCTCCCTCCCACTCTCTGAGCCCGTGGGACCCTGGAGGTGTGTGGGGTCCACGGGCCCGGGACCCAGGACTCTCGCCTTCTCGGGGTCCCATTCCCTTGGGAGACCAGGGTGGGGTGGAGGGTGGAGAAGGGTGGGGCACGATCTCTTGATGTGCGGCTGGGGATCTCAGTGTAGATGACCCCAGCCTGTCCTCCACATAGCCCATCTCCATCCAGTTCCACAAGCAGAAACAAGGGCAGACCAGGCAATTTCTGCATTTCTTAATATTTGGCGTTTGGCTCCATCTATGTCCCTGGGGTCCAGCTGGGGTAGGGGAAGGGGGGTGCCTGCCATGTGCTTCTGATTCACTGAGGCGCAACCGCCAGCTCTCTCTGTAGTCCCTCTAGGCCCCCATAAAAAAGCTCTTTTCTCAAAAAGCAGGAAGTCTTGTCTCCCAGCTGTAAACAAACCCATCTGGGGGCAGCAGCACCTCCTGGGGAGAGGAGTGAGTGGGAGGGTGAGTCCCTGCCCTGAACCCCCCTCCCACCAGCTCCTCTGTGGTCCTTCAGGGTGACAGCTTCCAGTAGGGGTTAACTCTAACTCTCCAGGTTGTAGGTACCATCCCCCCACAGGTAAAAAGCTCTTGTTTGCTTCCCAATCACTCCAAGTCTGGGTCAGGCCTGCGCCCAGCTGTGTACATCTGGAGTTGGCCTGTCTGCAGCCCCAAGTTCCCCGGAACTCTCCTGGGGCGCTGCCGATGTGGGGGAGGATGCAGCACAAGCTCCCTGCCTGCCCTGGTCAGCTGCAGGAAGGCTGACAGGCCTGGCCTACCCACTACCCTGGGGGGGCTTCCTCCTCCCTCTCCCCGTCCTCCTTCCCTCCCCCTCCTCTTCCCCCTCTTCATCCTTCTCTTCCTCCTGCTCCTCCTCCTCCTCCTCCTCTTCCTCCTCCTCCTCCTCCTCCTCCTCCTGGGAGCTGGCCTGTCCAAGAGACTCAAGAGAGTGGAGAGCAGGAGGCCCGTGCAGAGCTTGGGGACGAGACACTGCCTGTTCCATGGGAAACTGCGGGGAATGTTTCTTTACAGCACGTGTCCTGAGCCGCTGGCTGACCCTTGGTTTCCATTCCCACCTCCCTCTTCAACCCCTCAACTGCTTCCTACTCCAGCCCTGCTCCGCCCTTCCATTCAGCTCCCACAGTCAGCCATCCATCCCTCCCCTCCCCAGGGCCGGGAGTGTTCCCAGCCGCCTGCCACGTCTCAGGGGCGCGCCCCCCCAGCTGGAGTCACCGAGGCTGGCCACCCTCCTTGAGCCCAGGACTGGGAGCTGGCCTCAGGGTCAGCCTGGAAGTAAACATCCTCTTGGGTGTGCATGTGAGTGCCACCCATGCAGGTCCTGTGTGGGCCTGGGCTTGTGTGCGTGGGCACGCGTCCTCGTGACCCTCCCGGCTCTGGCTCTGGCCCTGTTGAGGCTGAGGGTGGTGGGAGCACTGGTCAGCGTTAGATGGAAAAACAGGCCCATGTGGTTGGCGCTGGGGAGGAAGCGGCCACAGCTAGCTGGCCCGGGATGCCTCGAAGCCTCAGCAGCCGTTCTTCCCTCTGTGGTACCTCTCTGCCTGAGTAGCAGAGGCCTGGGGTCCTGTGTTCCCTTGGTGTAGGGAAGAGAAAGACTTTGCCCCTGAGGAGTTTGTCCTGGGTCGGGTAGGCTCTGGGGTTAGCCGGTGGGGCCTGAGGTCAGAGAGGCTGTCTGGTGGGCTGTTTGCTACTGCGCCTTTAAAATGTCAGCCCTTGGGCCCCAGGAGCAAGGGGAGGCTGCCCAGCCCACCCTCACCCCCTCCTCACGTGGTGGTGTTGGGGACCTGCTGTACCCAGCCCACTTCCTTGTAGGCAGCGGTCACGTGGCTATAGATGAGGCCACGCAGCTTGGTCCAGGCTCTCTGCGTCTCTGGTGGGAAGTCACTGGCACACTCCTCGGACATCACCTCCAGAATGACCCCAGAGAGGATCTGCGGGTAAAGGGAGAAATCAGTTGTGAATGCACCCCCACCCCTGCACCTCCCCAGGATCCACTTCCGCCCCATGCGGGCCGAGGGGATGATTCCTGAGGCAAGGGCCTGGCAGCTGTGGGAGCCACACGCTCTTGGGGGTGGCCCAACCCTTCCCTCCTGCTGCCAGGCATTGCCTTCCACCTTGGGCCCCCAGGGGTGCAGGCTGGGAGCCATCCCAGCAGACATGGCTGTGAGTGTCGGTGCTCCCGGGTGCCCTACCTTGAAGTACACGGGCTCCACCTTATGCTTGAGGGCATGGGCTTTGCCCACGAGTGCCAGCACGGAGGACACCTTGTCGGGGTCGTGCAGGTTCTCCACCACGGTGTTGAGGGCCCCCATGACGCGGCAGGCGTGCTTCCGCAGCTGGGGGCTTCGCTCCATTTCCAGCGGCTCCTCCATGTGTTTGAACTGGCTGAAGTACTGCTTGGCAGAGGGAAAGTTCACAAAAAACCTGGTGGGAGGAAGAGATGGGTGTTGGAACAGGGACTCCCCCTCTGAGCGCTTGGTGCAGTCAGGGATGATGGCCAGCGTGGGGGCTAGAGGGCCGGGGAGATAGCTCAGCGGCACGAGCCAGGGCGGGAGCTAGAGAAGCAGAGGCCACCCCGCCCAGTCACTGTTTTCACTACAGAGGTCACTCTTCCTCCAACACAGACCCTCATGTGGCTGAGTCTGGTCCTGCCGCATCCATGGGCTGGCTCGGACTGGCAGTGGCAGCTTCCTATTGCAGGCCTTTTCTTCTTCTCTTTCCTTCCTTCTTTCTTTCTTTCTTTTCTTCCTTCCTTCCTTCCTTCCTTCCTTCCTTCCTCTTTCCTTCTCTTTTCTTTCTTTCTTTCTTTTAATGTATTTAGTACAGGGCCTACAGGGTCTCACTACACAAGTCAGACTCATAGTGATCCTCTTGTTTTCAGCCTCCCAAGCGCTGGGATTACAGGCGTCCTGTGTCACCACATCCTGTGTTAATTGCCATCTCAGTGTACCCTGGGAGCAGGGGTGACACAGCACGCCAGGATCAAACCCGGTCCCCGTTTCTGCCTAAACAGGTGCTTTAATCCGCTGAGCTATCTGGCCGGCCCTTGCCTCCCTTTTCTGTAATACCAGGGATCAGACCTAGCGAGTACTGAGCTACATCCATAGCCCTATTTATTTATTTATTTATTTATGTCTTTTTGAGACAGGGTCTCACTATGCAGTTCAGGCTGACCTTGAGTTCACTTTGTAGCCCAGACTGGTCTTGAACCCACAATGATCCTCCTGCCTCAGCCTCCTGTGTTGGGATTACAAGCATATACCACTACACCTAGCCAGCCCTTTTTATTTTTATTTATTTATTTATTTATTTATTTATTTTCAAAGTTTTATTGATAAACAGATAGCAATGAGTCAGTTTCAAATCCAATCGGAAGCAGCCCTTTTTATTTTTAAATTTTGAGACAGTCTTGCTAAGTCGCCCAGGCTGCATTCAATTTTGTGATTTTCCTGTAGCTGGATTGCAAGTTTGTGTCACCATGCCCAGCTCCTCCTAGATTCCTGTCTCTTTTCTGAACCTGACATGTCCTTCCAGGCCTGGTCCAGTCACTGCTGACAGAGTCAGAGTCAGGGCTCTGGGATCACAGGTCTATTATTCTCCATTTTATTTTATTTCTTTAAGAGATGAGGTCTACGGATGTTGCCTGGGCTGACTTCGAACGCACAGAGTTCACGCAATCCTCCTGCCTCAGCTTCCTAAGCAGCTGGGACTGTCCTGGTAGGGTGGTACAGTAGTGTGGTGGGTGTCGCTGCATCCAGCTTGCTGTCCCAACTCTTCGGAGTATCACTGTCTTGCCCATAAGACGAGTTGTTGTAAAGATGGAATGGGAAAGTGCCTGTCCTCACGGGACGCATCCTTCTGTCCATAGGACGACCAGGATTGGTACCTACCTGCCTTCACTGTAACAGTTACAGCTCATTTCATGAACAAAGCACGCTGGCTAAGGTCATTGAGCCAGCGAGTAAAAGACACAAGACACACACACCCTCTTCCTGCGCAGTCGCTTCTCTTTCCCCTCTCCTGAACCCCTCCTCAGCCTGCAGTTAATACTGATTGGCTGGTTTAATTAAAAATAGCCATTGAGGGCTGGCCAAATAGCTCAGCGGATTAAAGCACCTGCTTAGGCAGTCACAGGGGCTGGGAGTTTGAACCCCAGGCCTGCTGTGCCGGCCCCACCCCCAGGGCACGCGGAGATGGTGATTGAGACTGGGCATGGTGGCACGTGCCCGTAATCCCAGCACTTGGGAAGCTGTAATCAGGAGGATCACTATGAGTCCGATCTATGTAGTGAGACCCTATACACCATGTATACTCTGTCCTAAATACCAAAAAAAAAAAAAAAAAAAAGCCATTGATTCTACCTACCTGGAGTAGATCTGATGTTATTTCACATCCATCAGTCTTTTTTTTGTAATGTATTTAGTACAGAGTCTACAGGATCTCACTACACAGATCAGACTCAGTGATTCTTGAGACAGGGGCGGGGCTGGCATGGCAGAGCAGGGATCAAACCCTGAGCCCCTGTGTCTTCCTACACAGGTGCTTTAATCCACTGAGCTATCTGGCCGGCCCTGTATCCATCAGTCTTACCTCCCCAGGAAGCCTGTAAAGTTTTTAGAACAGACAGCTAGCCTTCTTAGCTCTGGTCCTTCTGTCCAGTTTATCTGAAAGTGTTTAATTCCCCCCAGTATTGCTTTCATCCTGTCACTATCATGCTCAGAGCATCCAATGACTCCTGATTGTGTAACTGGACAAAAATCAAAACTCCTTAATGAGACACTCCAGACTCCTTCAAACTGTACCCATGTCGCATCTCCAAAGCCACAGCCCATTGTGCCTGACCTACACCATCTTGTTCCAGCCCTACAGTTGCACTTACCATAGGTGACAGTCCTCAACAAGCTGCCCCCTGTCCCTGTGGTGGGTGCCTTCTGGACAGGCTGTCCCCTCAGAGTGCCTAGCCTGGTGCAGGCCTGCTGGTGCCCCTTCCAGACTGTTAGTGCTACTCAAGTGGCCTTCCCTACCCACTTTCACTCTGTGGGGCTGGACCTCAAGCCCCCACGCAGAGGCCAGATCTCATGCACCCGCTGGCCACTGCTAAGCCCAGGGTCCTGCAGTGTGCGGAGAGAGGCTGGAGGTGGGGCACCATGTGGGACAATGCTGGGCTCAACCAGAATTTACATAATCCCATGGCCCCTGAGAGTCTTGGACCTGTTCCCTCAGGTATTCCCACCTCTTGGGAGGTTGTCCCCTTTGAGATCAGAGAGTTAACAATTTGCCCTTTATGGGGGTCAGATGTAACAATGGAGACTGAGGTAGAGAGAGTACAGTCCATACAGAGACTGAGAGGACCCCTTTGAGGCTCATGTGACTTTGGACAAACCACCTCATCACTTCCCTGTCTGCAGAGACAGCAGTCCCCAAGGAACCCTCCAGCCCTTTGCAGACACACAGATGACAAGCAAGGCAAAGGGTTTGAAAACACATCGCTGCTTTCCAGAGAAGCGCTGCAGTAAGGGACAGATGTAAAAACCCAGTCTGGACCTAAATGTGCATCTCAGACTTTGATGTTTTTACTTGCAAGGCACCACTGCCTCTTCCGTATGTAACTGCCACAACCAAGCAGGTGTTCTTCCAGTCCTCCTGCCGAGGAAACAGCCAAGACTTCTCACCGAGCACATACGAGGTGAGCTCGCGAGTTCTTGCGGTACCCTCCTGAATCTGGTCCTGTGTTCACCCTCACCTCAAAGGCTAGGAATTGAAGTCTATGGCTGCCCAATCAGGTGAGTGGCAGCACCAGGAATGAGCCAGGCTTTGAGGGATTCCCAGAGTGCTCAGAGAGATGGCTAGGCGGGAGCCTGATGGCCAGGGACCCAGGTGAATCTACTGCCTCAACACCCAGGGCTTTGTGGTGATCCTGAGGCATAAGAGCCTCAGGGAGGGGGGCTGGAGAGATGGCTCAGTGGTCTAAAGCACCTACTTGAAACAAGCTTGGCAAAGCACAGGGACCGCAGTTCAATCCCCAGCACCACATGCCAGCCAGCCCTGCCCCCTGGTGGGCTGAGCTGGCCACACACACACACAATAAATAAATGTAATAAATAAAAATAAATAAATATTTTAAAAAAAAGAGCCTCAGGGAGGCCCAGACCACAACCAGGGGAGCTGGTAGCCTGGAGTGTTGTGCCAGCCTCCTAGTCCCTCTCTCTGCTGTGTCACCCCCCGCAAGCCCTCCCAGCTTGGCCTACGATGCCAGGAGAAGCCTCACAGCCAGAAGCCTCACAGCCAGTCTCTGGGAGTTTCTCGGCTGCAGAGGCAGCTGGGCTTCCAAGAGCCCGAAATAGGCTCGTCTGAGTGTGAGGGGGAAGGTGTCAGCGTTACAACCAGGAGCCAGGGTGGGTGTTCCCTCTTGGTCTCCTCTCTGGCAGTGGAAACGTGGGGTCTGCCTCAGACCCCAACACATCTCCTGCTCCACCACCTCCGCCTTGCTAACTGCTGGAGGTAGGGTGTGGAGGCCCCTGCCTCCTCCTCACCCCCCTGACTGATAAGGGCAACTATTCATGTGGATGCGTGATCACAGGCTCTCCCTGGGGCCTGGGGACCTGGTCCTGTGGATGTACAGGCTGTACATGGGCAGATGGGAGGCTGTGACAAGTCTCCTGGGTACAAGATGTAGACAGGGACATAGGAGGCCCTGAGAAGCTGGGAGCACTTGTCCTTGCCCCTCCCTCACCCACATTGGGCAGACTCTGGGACAGGCATCAGTAGGAGGAGGCAAGGAGAGGAAGGTCTGTGGGACTGGAAGCTGGCAGAGAGTAGCTGAGATGGTGCTGGCCCAGGTTGCCCAAGCAGGCTCCTGACCACGCAGGGCTCGGGACAGAGAAGTGTAGTTGGCAGGCCATGTCTGAGTACCTCTCAGGCTGTCTGAGATTAATGGTGGGTCTTCGTCTGAGGCTGAGCTTACTGGTATATACTCTCCCTCCTCCCCCGGGTCAGGAATGGGCAAACAGCCAGAAGGAGGGCGTAGAGAAAGAAGGAAGGGGCTGCGGTCATAGCTGAGCACTTGCTCAGCATGTATAAATCCCTGGCTTCTGCCCCCAACACCAAAAACAAATGGAAAAAGTAAAGACAAAAAGAAGAGAGCTCAGAGATCCAAGAGCCCTGCTTCAGGGCTCAGCTCCTTCCTCTGCACACTCCAAGTTTCTGAAGAAGGTTCTTCCCTGGTAGTGGGGGAATGAGAGAGAATGGCACTGAGGACCTGAGGCTCAACAAGTCTTGAGGAAAATGTCCAAGGTCCTGTGACCCATGTGGAGCCCAGTGGGCCATGGGCTGCCACATGGCTGATCACAGCCTCCAGGGATGCAGTCTGGTGCACAGGGGAGACTCCATTCCCCCCTGTGCACTCGTGTGGGTGCCTGCATGTGCCAATCAGGCTGCAGTGACTGTGACTTCAGGATCCCAACCCCTTTCTTAGCTTCCCACCACCCTCAGCTGGGTTCCTGGCTCTGGAGCTGCAGAAGGAGCTGCCCTTACCCAGGAGCCCTCCTCTAACTCTTCCAAAGTGCTTCTTCCCCTTGTCCTCCAAAATCTCTTTCTAGGTTGGAGTCAGGGACTATCACTAAGGAGCTGGTAGCTCCCAGGTGCGGGGGAGGCAGAGGGGAGAGAGGGAGAAGTGGAGAAAGAGGAGTCAGAAACCCACAGGACTGGGACACAGACATACACTAAAGGGTCCTCACATGGCCAAGTTTCGACAGCTCTTCTGCTGTCCCAGGTTGACAACCTCCCTGTGCCAGGGGCTGGTGGCTCAGGGTGAGCATGTTGTGGGTTCTCCACCTACACCCTGGTAGTGTGGAAGAGAGTCAAGATTTGATTTGCAAGCAGTCAGCCTCTGATGTGTGGGGCTTGGGGACATCAACTTGTAGGTGTGTGTGCACCCCTGGGCAAGTGTGTGCACAGTGTCACTCTGGGTGGGGGACCTCAGTGGCACTGGCTTCTGGAGGCACTCTGTAACACTGCATATCCTCCCTGGCTGCGTTCTGGGGCAGCCCACCCACCACCACACATACCAGTTTCTCTTCCCTCACCAAACTCAGCAGTGTCCTTCCGAACTGTTTGCTTCTAGCTCACCTGTGCCTCACCTCATGTTCCCGCTGGGGGCCCCTTAAGGACAAGGAGGCGCAGCAGGCAAAGCTGGACCTCAGCTGTGTACTCCTTCTGACCTCCACTCCTGGCTCTGTTCTTCCTAGGAGCCCCATGGGTCTGCCAGTCCTCGAGCCCCTTCTTCGCCAGCTGAGCCTACAATCTCTAACCCAGGGAGTCCCTCTGACCTTCTGAGGGCTGTAAAAAGCAAGCGCATACAGTTTGGCGGGGTGACTGGGGTCCTCAGGGAGGGAGACCAGTGACGCGAGGAGGGGTTCTGAGGCCAGCACGAAGGGGCAGCAACCGACGTGCCCTTCGGTGTCTGGCTCCTGGTTCCTGGTGAGCCCCACACCCGTCCGGGGCCAGGGAGGACTTAACCTGGGCTTCGACCACCCCAAGACGCCCCACACTGCGCGCCCCCGGGCTCGGCGGGCCAAGGTAGCAGCCAGGGAGGTGGTGCGGGAGCTCGGACCCGGCCAAGCCCGCGTCTGCACGAAGCCGCCGCCGCCCTCCCTGCCGTGGGCCCGGCCCGGCGGAGCAACACCTACCTCACCAGGATGGCCACCCCCACGTCCTCGCAGTTGGCGTACACCCGGGCCCACGTAGCCTGCACCGCCTTTCTCTCCGCCTCGGACAGCTCCTCACTCCACTCCCTGCGCTCGATCTCCATCTCGCTGGGCACTTTCTCCATGAGCAGCTCCAAGCCCAGCCTGGCCTCGCTCGGCGGCGGCGGCGGGCGCGGGGCGCCGGGCGACGGCTGCGTGCGCGGCTGGCGGGAGAGGGGTATAGCGCCGGAGGGAGGGAGTGTGTGTCTGCGAGCGCCCGGCGAGTGTGTGTGTGTGTGTGTGTGTGTGTGCGCGCGTGTGTATGCGCAGGGTATATGTGCGGGGAGCTGGGACCGTGAGGGGGGAGTGGGTGGGGGAGGAGGCGGGATGTGGTAGCTGGAAAAAATGTTTAAAAAATAAATCCGCTCCAAACCCCCGGTTCTGTGTCGGTGAGCGGATCCTGGCAAGGTGAAGGCTGGGTGGGGTGGGGGCGATCAACGCGGCTGGCGCCCGCCCTCCCACCCATCCGCAAGGCCACCGCGGTCCCCGCCGGGCGGAGCGAGGGGTAGGTGTGGCCGAAGTGTCGTGGGGTCTCGGGAGGATCCCGCGGTCACGCGGCTCTGGGTGGCGCGGGCGGAACAGGAGTGCGCTCCGGCAGGCTCGGGACTGGGGCGGCTAGTCCCGGCTCAGACTGCGCGCGGTGTTCGGATGTGTGCTCCTGTGTACCTTTTTCCGCTGCAGGGAACTGGCTGCTCAAAGTCAAGCACACCCAGGCACTGGCGGCGTGGCCGCCCGCTGTCCACCCGAGGTGGCAAACGCGAGTCCCACCGCGTGCAGAGCAGGGCTCCTGCTCCATCCCATCGCCCACCCTCTAGCCTCCCAGCTGAGGCGCCACTCCCAGATCCTACGCTGTGGACCCCACTGGGGCCATCTCCCTGGCCGCCTACCGCTGGGGCCAGCTCAACTTAGGCAGGCTCCTGCCCTCTGGGTGCCAGAGGCCTGTGCCCTCTTTCCTGCCAAGCATCCACCCGCTGTCAGTGCACCTCACCTTGGGCAAGAAGTTGCTAGGGGGCTAATGCCTGACCCAAGCCAGCCTTCTGCAACCCGTTGTCCTGCATTCCGGACTTAGCAGGGCAGAGTGAAGTCCCGAGGAGAGGCCCGAGCCTGGACCCTGAGCTGGGGTACAAGTCCTGAAGAAGGCCCAAGCTCTGCAGGCATCACAGCTCCACCAAGGTCCCAGTGCTCCCTCCTTCATGGTGGCAGCTGCTAGGGAGAGTGAGACTGGGCCAGGGAGAGTGAGACTGGGCCAGAATGAGGCTGTGCTGCCTTCAGGCAGCTGCTGAGCCCTGGAGATGGCCAGTCCCTTGTCAGACTCCCAGAGGAAGCCCAAGGCCACACAGGTCCTGCATCCTCTTGACACAGAAGCCCCTGTAGCCATGGGGTCTCTGGGTCACCTCTGGGTTCCCTGGTGACCTTATCCTGCCCAACACTGAGGTGTCTCACAGCCCGAGCACTGCGAGGCGGAGCTACTCTCCACTTTGGTTTGTGTCTTTATTTTTAAAACCTACTTTCAAGGTTGAGAGCCAAAGGAAGTAGTGAGACCCTTGGCTGCGCAGGGTCCCACCCTGGGCTTCAAGGTTTAGGCCCCTCCCAAGGGGAGAACTAAATGCTTTCTTAGGTCTTAGCGGGGTGTGGGGGAGCAAGTTCTTCCATCAGTGTCAGACCTGATAGGTCCTGGCCGGGCTGTTGCTGGCTCCGTGTTCCACACACCCCAGACTCCCCTAATTGTTTCCCACAGTTGATGTGAAAACTTTCCCAAGAGCTCCCCAGGACTGGGAAAGAAAACAGGAGAAATCTCATTTCATTCTTTACACATTTCATGTATGTCTTAAGGTAGAGGAATGGATCCATACAGTAATCTAGTGTACAACGTATAAGTTTATACTTTTAAAAATTATATAAGGTAGTTATATAAGGTAGAATTTGCTTTGGGAGCACACACTTAAATTGTGCCTTTTACTGGAGGGTGTGGAATCAGAAAAGTTTGGAGAGGGCTAACCAGGGGATGGAACAGAGCCAGCCCTTTGCTCTGTGGTTGCCCTTGTCTTCCTGGCTCCATCATCGAATATCGTTAGCCTCTCCTCCACGTCTCCCACTGCCTCCGCTGTGACATCATTGATCTCAGCTCATTACTGGAAGATGCTTTTTTTTTTTTTTTTTAAATGTCTGCAGCCCCGGCAGAGTCTCCTGAGGGTCTGTTCTTCCTTGAGGATGTACAAGTTCCAGTGCCTGCAGCTCCTCTTTGCAGCTTTCCTGGATGCCTGCAACTCCAGAAGTGCTCCCTGGGGGTCTTTCACAGGGCCTCACTTAATTACAGCTACTTGTTTAACTTAACAGCTTATTGGGTTAGACTGGCAGCCCCTTGAGGACAGCCCAATGACTATCAAACCTTCATTGCTCACCCTACAAGGGGTTGATGCACCTTGCCACTAGAGGGGAGACCCAGGGTCCAGTGAGGTTAATCAGCCTGCACAAGGTCAGGGCTGCTGACCCCACTAAGCAGCTTGAGCCTCCTAATCCTCCCCAGCAGGAGCTTCAAGACAGACACAGAAGGCAGTGGGCAGTGGCTCATGAGAGCTGGCCAGGACCATTTGGTCCCAGGCCTGGGACCTTCTGCAGACTTGGCCTGGGGGGGATGGGGCAGCTGAGCCATGTGCACCACTCTCTTCCTGCTCAGCACCTTGGCCATGCTCTGGCGCCGCCGATTTGCCAACCGGGTCGAACCGTGAGAAAATGACTGGGTTATGGGGGTGGGGCGGCCTGCTGGGTTACAGCCAAGCTGAAGTAGGCAGTGGCTACCTTGGCCTCTGGTGGGCTGGGAGGGAAGGGTCACTGTCAGAGCCTCTAGCCCCACAGCTCTGGTGGTTGGGCTGTGGGGAGGGGCTGGGCAGGGCTGGGCACTACCCACAGCTTTCCCTGCCTGTTCTTCCCTCCCACAGAGAACCCAGTGGAGTGGATGGGGCAGTTGTGGGCAGCAACTCGGATGTGGACCTCCAGTCCTCAGGCAGGTGAAGTGAAAGAGTCAGGGGTAGAGGAGGGAAGGGGCTGCCATGGAAGCTGTTGGGGTGTGGTGTGTATGTGTGTGTGTGTGTGTGTGTGTGTGTGTGTGTGTGTGTAGTCATGCTGCATGCCTGGCAGAAAGGCCAGATGTCTGCTTTCACCGGGTAGAAAAGGGGAGGAGAGTGTGTGCCCCCGGCCCCTTCTCTGAACCAAAGCTGCACTGCCTCGCTTCTCCAAACGGCAGTGTGAGCCGGCCCCAGGAGTACCTTCTGTCAGAAGGAAGGCACAGGGGAGCCGAAAGAGGGAGGAGGCAGCGGCAGCTTTGGGTTGCTTTGCTCCGTCCTTGCCCTTCCCTCCCCCTCTGTCTCCCTCTGCCCCCACCCGCCGCCTCAGCAGCTCCACTGCCTGAACCTACAGCAGGATTCGCTGTCCAGTCCCCAATAGAAGGTGCAGGAGGCGCATGACATCATCAGCACTGAGTGCCATTGGCTGGGCAGTCCCTGGGGCAGGAAGCTGTCTCCAGTGGCCAAAAGTTAACTCTTCCCTAGGCTGAAGCCATGTGGCCTTTAGGGGGGTGACCCTGTGGGAACTTCTAGATTTTTCCTCCCCTGGCTCTTTGGTAGAGACTTCTAAGCCCAACAAGACATGGAGGAAAGTCAGCCAGTTATCTATTAAGGACCTACATGTAAAGAGTTCTGTGTGTGCCTATGGACACACCTAGCATGGGAAACCTTTCTTACCCCTACTGAAACAGAGAGCCACAAAGGTCCTCGAGGCTGGGCATGGTGGCACAGACCTGCAATCCTAGCACTTGAGGAATCTGAGGCAGGAGGATGACAAGTTTAAGCTCTGCCAGAGCAATTTAGGGATATAGCTAGACAAAATACAAAATAAAAAAAGAGCTGGACATGTAGCCCAATGCAAAGGCTCCAAGCTTCATCCTCAGTAATGGAAAAAGCAAGAAGAAAAATGAAAAAAGATCCTATGATCCAGGGAGATAGCTCAGTGGCATAAGCCCCTGCCTGGCAAGCATAAGGTCCTAAGTTCGATCCCCGGTTTAAAAGAAAAAGAAAAAGATCCTATGAAGTCCTCTGGCTTTGGGGCCCAGGGTTGGAGGGTGTCTCCACTCAGGCTGTCCTCAGGTGGTGGGGACAGTCTGCATGCATGCCTGCAACCCTCCATGTCTCTCTCTGGGTGGACAACCTGCCTGCAAGAGGTCACTTGTAGATACTGGCAAGAGGGAGGACTTGACTCTTTCTCTTATCTCCTACCATCTCTGTCCTGGAAGTCGCTCACATTTGGACTATGATAGGCCCAGTGTGAAATAGAGGCCTTTCAAGGACACCTTCCTGACTCCACAGCTAGCTAAGATCTTCCTGACAGTAGCTGATTGTGAAGATAAACAAGCTAACATATTTAAAATGACTAGGCCTCACCCACAAGACATATTCAAATGCTGGCTGGTCTTCCCTATTGCCTTTGGCTGTGGAATTTAAATCCTGGTTCTCCTCTTACTGAGAGACTTTGGGTAATTTAGGTAACCATTTTATTTCTTGTAAACTGGAATTAGTAACAAACTGACTGTGGGTTTCCCTGAAGAAACAGAGCAACTACTTGGTAGCTGTTATTTTATATTTGATCAGTGCTGTATTCTTCCCTAGGGGTTTCTCACATGGTTACTCACTTAGAAAAGGGTTGGAGGATGTATTTTTTTACATCTCTTGTTAATGGTTAAGGAAACTAAGGAACAGGAAGATTGGAAGGACTCGCTTGAGACCACCCTTCCAATCTGTGTCTGATGTGGGAGCTTCAAGCTTCCAAGCAAACCCTCTTTTGCCTGAAACGGGCCTGGCAGGAGAGGAAAGGGCAAATCTGCAGACCATCTGGCCAGGCCTGGCCTGGAGCGACTTAGCCAGAAGGAAGTAGTGCTGTTAGCTCCTTGGGATCCAGTTAGCTGGAAAAATCGGTCCGACATGAATGAACCACCTGCTGATGGTGGCTGTCAAAGAGGGCTGGCTAGAGGTAGCACAGGGATGAAATTTTCTTGTTCTAAGTCATATATTCCAAGTTGTTTCTTGGGTGCTCTTTCCCTCAATACCTGAATGGTTATGTGTGGGGATAGGAAAAAGAAGACAGCCAGAAACATGGGTTGTTCTTTCCACTCAGTCCATTGACTCCAGTGTTTTCTTCCACTTAGGGAGAAAGAACCTCTGAAGTAAGCCTTTGTCTGCCTCACCAGGCTGGGCTCAGCTCTGGGGACTGGAATCAGCTGGCCAGGCAAGTAAGGTAGGGCCAGGAGCCCTGGAGGCCAGAGGGTAGGGCTGGGGTCAAGGAAGAAGAAATACTCGCCACACCAGGCAGTCTTCAGCTCTGGTGGTCACTAGGGGAAGCTAAGTGGGAGGATAAAGTCATTTGTTCAGCTCCATCATGAGCCTGATACATTCCAGAGCACAGGCTAAGGCTGGTTAGAGGGAAACCAGGTGGTGGCTGGGCTGGGGCCTGAGGATTCTGCCGGAGAACTAAGCAAGAGGTGGTGTTCCGGAATGTCTCCTCTGAGAGTTTAGGCTAGTGTGGGCATGGGAGAAAGTGCTGATCTGTGTTGGTTTTCTGTTTCAGCCCAAGTCTTCATTTGTCCCTGGCTCAGGAGGATGCTATGGGTTCAGCAGAAAACCAATTAAGGGAATGAGAGAAACAGCAATGGAGAAGGTAGGCTCCTCCCTTTCGGCCCCTGGACAGACTCAGCTGTGGGCTTCCTGAGTGAGGCCTACTCGGGGCTGGCAAGAGGAACGAAGCTGCCTGCTGCTCTTAGGCTCCTTTACCTTTGAGTTCCTGGGTAGCATCTGAGGGGCAGAGGAACCTGAGAAGGTCCAGAGAGAACGACTTGCTGGGTCCACCCAGTTAACTCTGGGCAGCATGGCAGCTAAGCCAGGAAGCAGGGCCAGAGAGTGAGGAGCACCCAGAATCAAGACACATGGGTATGGCCCATAGTCATGACTTGGGGATTTCCATTTAACCCATAGAGACCACCTGCATGTTGTAAGTGGGAGGAAAAAAGGTGGTTAAATAATGTGCCCAATGTCACCTGAACTGTTAAGTGGGGGGACCCACGGTTCCCTTTGCCAGTCTGCAGGTGCTTGGTGAAAAAGGAAGGTTATTAGCTTGGTCATCTGTGTGATGGCTCCGGAGAGATTCAGTTCAGTCAGCTTGTGGTCTAAGCTGTGGTGGTGTCAGTTGGCCATGGTGGTTCCCATTCTCAGTGCATTTGCCTCTCCCCAAAGCCCCAGAGTCCACCCTGCTACTGGCTGCTCTGCTAGAATCATCAGTAAGAAAGGCCTGTGAGATCTGTGACATGTCTGCCTGCAGCTGGATGGGAGCAGTCACCAGCTGGTCCTCTGAATGTTTGCTATGTGCAAGTTCCAAACGGACAGTAGTGTGCGGGAAGGGACAGAGTGTGACACTTGCTTTTGTCAATGTACTGACTGCTCAGTAATGGCTGTGGCCTCCTTTGCCCCCAGCTGCCCTGCCATTTCTCTCTCTTTACAGTCCTGCCCGATCCTGAGCAGAGATCAAAGCAGATTTCCGCTTGCTCACAAATCCAGGCACAGACCCTGCAGGCAGCTGCTCCCAACTGTCTCACAACCATTAGTCTTCAAAAGCACCCCCACCGTGCTTCCACTCAGGCAGCCCTCCTCCCGGGCCAGCCCCCCACTGCTAGCCCAGCAGTGACAAACGTCTGCCTGGCTGGCCTCTGCCCTTGACTTTCAAGCAGCAGAGGATGGAAGAGTTCCCAAGACAGCAGCACTCAGCCGCTGCCCCACATCTGAGAAGAGGCAGTGAGAGATGCAGCAGCTGAATGGGAACCTACCTGAGGCTGAGGGAGGAGGCCGGAGCCTGCTGATGCTGCAGGAGCCTTCCGTGGGAGCCTCTCAAAGTAGGGCAGGGAGGAGGCAGGGGAAGGTCACACCAGGGGAAGGAGACTGCCAGAGCCAGGGTGCCCACCTGACCTAAGCCACGTTCCGCCTGTGGCCACCTGTCTCAGCACCTGCCTGCCTGTCTTTCCTGAAAGGCCCGAGCCTTCCTGGTGATAGGACTGTCAGGCTGAGGGCCAGAGGGTGCTGTTCCCAGGACTCCATCTGTGTTCCCTGTTCCCATCCTCCCAAGCCATTTTCTAACCTATCTGCCATGTTCCTGTCGCTCATTTTTCCCTTCGCTCTCTGCCATCTCTGCGTTGCCCACTTCCTTCCAATGGTCTGAGGAACTGTCAAGCCAAGGTCATGGAGCAGGTACACAGGGCAGGTTTTAGGCCTAGGCACACTTCCACAGCACTGTTCAGTGAGCCTGGGGCAGGATCCACTCCAGGTGAAGGGTGGGAAAGAAAGAAGGGAGTGCTGGCAGCAGGGTATGTGGCTGCCTGGGCCTGGCAGCTGGGGTGCCATGTGGGCCGGCAAGGAGGGGCTCTCTCCCCTAGAGAGCAGGCTGGCTTTGGTGGGAGCAGATTGTGTTTACACCTTCCCCACACACCCAACCCACGCTCGCCTCTTATTCCCAGGGCCTCTCCCACCCTAGGGTTCTCTGTGAAATCTGCATGCTTGCAGCTCCTGCTGCAGAGTTGCCTCCCTCATGTGGAACTCCTCCCGGGACCCAGATGCCCTGCCTGGGTCACTAGCACCTATTGCAGGATGGGTGTGAAGTCTGGGTCAAGGGTGAACCCTTTTAGGGGAAGTCATTTAAATTGTGGTCATGCCACTGTCCCTGTGAATAAGTCCTTTTCCCATTTCCTTGGACAGAGCCACTGCTTGCAAAGGAGAGCAGGAATGCTTAGGGGCTTCATAGAGAAAGGGCTAAGGGCAACTAGAGAGAGACCCAAGGTGAAGAGCAGGTGAGTCCTAATTTGGGCTGCTGGCTCTGGCGAAACAACAAAGGAGCTAAGAGTGAGGACTCCGGAGTCAAGAGTACCCGGATCTGAATCTCTACTCCACCACCATTTCCTCTCCTGTGACCTTGGGTTCCTTCTGACATGTCAATATGCCTCAGTTTACTTCTATAAGAAGGAAATAGTAGTACTTCTGAGTTGGGGTGAGGTTCTGATAGTGTATGTAGTGACTGGCACACCTTGTAAGTCTTCCACACACATGAACTCGTACAATTACTGGGAGCTGTATGTTACTGCGCAGCGTAGATTCCGAATACTTGGAGCTCCTTCCTTCTCACTCCATGGTCCTTCCTGCCCTGCGTCTCTGTACAGAATCAGCGGGCGACAGGCAAGTACAAGGCAGACTAGAGGAGGGCACAGGGCACCCAGTGAGCCTATAAGGCAAGGTCCATCTGGCCTCTATGTGTGCCCAGAATCCTGCCCCCACTTCCATGGGGGTCCTGGGCTGGGTATCTCCACTCCCAGGCTCCGCTTCCCAAGTGCGTCTCAACTGCTGAGGAAGACAGGCATCATTTGCCGTCCTGCTCTCTCCTCCTCATCTGAATGCTAATCCTTCTGCTGGCCAGAGCCTGAGTGACAAGGAAGAGGCTGCTCAGAGCTGCAGGGTGGCCAAGGGCAGCAACCAGAGCCAGGAGGTGCTGCTGTCTGCGCCTCCTGTGGCTGACACTCAGAGTTGCTGCCAGTCTCTCTTGGAGATTGGAACATGACCAGATAACTAATGAGGTGGTGGAAAGGAGCGAGGAAGTAGCCATGGCAGCTGCAGCAGCTGCTGCTGTCATGCATCAGTCTGGGGTGCAGATGTGGCTTTAGGGGAGGAGCTGCCCACCTCAAAGGTCTGGTGCATGCCTGTGTGTGTAAGGCGGTCCCCAGAAGGGCTGGCCAGATAGCTCAGCAGATTAAAGCGCCTGCTTAGGCAGACACAGGGACAAGGTTCAATCCCCGATGTGCCGTGCTGGCCCCGCCCCCTGGTGCACAGAGACTGAGACTGGGCGTGATAGTGTGCGCCTGTAATCTCAGCACTTGGGAGGCTGAAAACAGGAGGATCACTATGAGTCCGATCTGTGTAATGAGACCCTATAGACCTTGTACTAAATACATTTAAAAACAAAACAAAACAAAAAAAAAAAAAAAAAAAAAAAAAACAGTCCCTAGAAAGGTGTGCACCAGAGGCCTGACCCAAGCCTACATGGCCAAAGCCTGGAGCCCAATTTGAGGCAGGCACAATGCAAGGGCCATGTATCCCACGGGCCGCACAGGCACCCTGGCCCTCTGCAAGGGCCTCACTGTCAGGCAGAAGCTTGAGCCCTTGAGCTACAGGAAAGTAATGCTGCTTTGGGAGCCACCAAACAAGGAGAATGGCAAAATGGCTTACACTGGGTCTTACATTAATATAATGATAATGACCTCAATAATGCTATTAATTAAAAAATGCTATTAATAATGGCTAACATGCATCAAACATTTTTATATGCTAGAAATAAACTGGCACCGTGCCCAGTTTATTTCTAAGTACTATCTCATTTATGCAACAAGAATTCTTGTTATCCTTATCTACCCACCTAGGGAAGTAAAGTTCACAGAACCCGCGCAAGGTCACTCACAGCTAGCAGGGAAGTGAGGCCTGCACCTGGGAAATCTGATACCAAACACTGGGGCAGAGAGCACCAGAGTCTGAGGTGGGTGAGGGAATTCCAGGTGTGACCTGTCCACAAGGATACAAACACTGGGGCCTGGACCGGCCCTCGACAGGTCTTCGTTTGGGCCAGAGTTGCCAGGGTCATTCCTGCTGCTTTTTCTTAAGGGACACATCTGACAGGCCAGACTCTAGGCCCCAGAAAGGCCAGTCCTTGCTTGCCAGCTGAGGAACTGAAGAGCTGCCTCCTCAGGATCCATCAGTGGCCCCTGGCAGGGATGAAACAGCAAGGTCATAGCTCACAGTCACTGCCACTGCCTCCTACAACCAGGGGCAGAACCCTGGGGAGAAGAGAAAGGCAGCCAGCAGCCCAGCTGGACAGGAGGAAGTGTGAGATGGCAGACTGTGTTGACCTGTTTGTGTTTGCAAGGGGAGGATGTGGGCAGAGACCAAAGAGGTGGCTCTAAGAGGGATTGAGGACAAGCTGGTAACAAGTCCTTTTATCTAAAGACCACATACCCTCTCTGTGGGATACATGTGCCCCCTAGTGGGAGTTAAGACAATACAGTGGCTAAGAAAATGACAACAAAACAAAACAACAGATCTCTGAGCCTGTGAACTGGGGGAGCAAGTACCAGTCTTGTCCCTATGTGAACACACACACACAGAGTTAATATACGCAGAAGCTATGTGAACTAAGCATTAAAAGAAATTAATTTATTCATTTGTTTTACTTCCAAGTATGCACTGAGAACTGACAATGTACACACACGCTGTCAGGTGCTAGGAGTGGCGGTCTGGTAATAAGCGTCTGTACCACCCTTTGCCCTCACACTAAGTGCATACAAAGATCCAGCTGAGGAAGCCTTGTTCTGCCAGCTGAGCCCCGCCTGTTCACCTAACCTTTTTTTCTCTCCACCTCAGTTTTCCCCACTCAGTAAAAATGTGCTGAATCTAGGTGGGCTGGTGCTGAGAGTTAAAGCACTAATGTCCTCCTCAGGAAAAGAACTGTTGAGTAAAATGAAGGGTTGGACCAGATGACCAGATGCCCCGCAGATTCTTCTCATCCAGACGGACTATGCCTGGAGGTGCTGACAAAGGCTTGCCATGTGACAAATGTTTATGCAGTGCTTGTGTGCCAGGCACTCTGGATACAAAAATGGATTAAGGGCTGGGGATATAGCTCAGCAGTGCAGTGCCTGCCAGGCACGCGTGAGGTCATGAGTTCAATTCCTGGTACCAAAAAAAAAAAAAAAAAAAAAAAAAAAAGGATTAAGACCTTCTGCCACAGCCAACCAGAAAACTGCATAAAATACAAGAAACAGACACCTGATAACAGGCAGCACACAGGACAATGACCCATGACTGCCTTGGCCTCTACCCAGAGATAATTCTCTGCTATTCATAAAGATATCCAGTAGACCAATGGAATCCAGAAACAGAGTAACAAAGATATCTCACTGGAGAAAGGAAGGTCCTTTCTTTTTTTTTTTTTTTTCCAGTGTCATGGATCAAACTCAGGACCTTGCACTTGCCAGGCAGGCACTTGTGCCACTGAGCTATCTCCTCAGCCCCGGAAGGTCCTTTCAACAGGATACAGAGAGCACTAATCATAAAAGAAAAATCTGCTGGATAAATGGATTAAAAGTCCATTTATCAAAGTTAAACTTCTGCTCTTGGAAAGCATGGGAGAAAATATTTGCCAAAAGTATACATATAATCGACGAACATATAGAAGGATGCTCAGTATCACAAGTCATCAGGGAAATGCGAGTCAGAAGCACAGCGAGATACCACAACACACCACTGGAGTGGTTAAAATGAGAAATCGACCATAATAAGATAAAGATATGGGGAAACTGTGATTCTATAATAAAATCACTTGGGAAATCAGTGTGATGTTCTCTTAGAAATGAATCCAAATAGGATCACAAGTCCGCATCTTGTACAGCAATTAACCACTAAGAAGAATATATGCAGTGTATTATTTATTGGAACTGTACTTCCGATTTGATTTGAAACTGTCTCATTGCTATCTGTTTATCAATAAAACTTTGAAAAAAAATCAAAGCAAAAAAAAAATGAATCCAAGAGGAATAATAATTTATGTCCACAAAAGGATTTTACAGAAACGTTCAGGCAGCTTTATTAACAATAGCTCTAAACTAGAAGCAACCAAAATATCCACCAACATGTGAATGGGCAAACGGAGGTTCACTAATACAACAGAAGAACACTCAGCAATAACAAGACATGAACTATGGACATCAGCAACAACATGAGCAAAGTGAGAAGCCAGACACAAGAAGAGCACTTCCTGTGGGATTTTATTTATGAAATTCTAGCACAGCAAACCAATGCATAGTGACAGAATGCTGATCAGTGGCTGATGAGGGCCAGGACCGGAATGGGGCTGACTGTAAAGGAGTTTGAAGGCGTTCTTTGGGATGACAAAAAATGTTTTAGATCATGGCTGGGATTATGCTGATTGGACTCGAACGGCACATTTTGAGTGGATGTGTATTATTGACACATATACCTCAAAATAAAGATAACACAGTTAAAACAAGAACAAAGACCCAATCCTTGTTTTGCTCACAGCCTAGCAGAAGCCAGACAGGAAACAAAAATAGTTCCAAGCAGCACAGTGAGTGTTAGAAACATGCCTAAGCAACAGGAGCTCCCATTCACTGGGTGTTTATCTTGTACTAAGGCACTGTGCTAAGTACTCTGTACACACAGTCGTAAAAACAGTCCTGTGTGGTTGGAGGATCACCATGCCTCCCATTTTACAGATGGGAAAAACAAGTCTTAGAGACAGGTAAGTAATCTGTCCAAGGTCACACAGCTAAAATCAGCAGAGCTGGGATTTTCCTCCAGGTTGTTCTGATTGCAAAGCAAGTGCTAACCTACCTGCCCCAAGGAGCCATGCAGCGGTCTAAGTGCCTGCTTGGCAAGCACAAGGGCCTGGGTTCGATCCCCAGTACCACATGCAGTGTTGGCCCAATGCCAAGCCAGCCACTAGAACCTGGCGTGGTAGGACATGCCTATAATCCCAGCCTTGGGGAGGCTGAGACAGGAGGATCACTATGAGTCGGAGCTGCATAGTGAAACCCTATACCAAATAAATAAATAAAATTTTTTAAAAAAGGAGCCATGGGCAGACCACTCGGGGACTGCTATAGCCTCATAGCCAAGACTACACAGAGGAGGTTTTATGAACCAGACTTTGCCAAACAGGGGAGAAGATGAGGGGAAGGGAATTTTAAGGCAAAGGGAACAAACACCACAAGAAAGGTTATGCAACAGTTGCGAGAAGACAGATTTCTGGGAACTGGAAAGACATGCATGTCCAGGAAATAGGAGATGAGGGCCAGAGAATATTACATGTTCTTCAGATTTGTTTATTTTTATTTTTTTAAATTCCTTTTTTTTTTTTGCGGGGGGCAAAGGGGGCTAGGGACTGAACTCAGGGCCTTCACACGGAGGTAGATCCCCAGTCTTTTTTTATACTGAGCTACATCCCCAGGATCTCCATAAATTTCTAAATATGCCTAGGCTGGGCTTGAATTTGCAGTCCTTCTGCCTCACCCTCCGAGTGCTGGAATTAGAAGTGTGTACCACCATGCCTAGTTTAAAATCCATGTTTAGGGGTTGGAGAGATAGCTCACTTGAATAAGTGCTTGCCTGGCAAGTGCAAGGGCCTGAGTTCAATCCCTGGCTCTGCAAAAAAAAAAAAAAAAAAAAAAAAAAAAAAAAAAAAAAAAAAAAAAAAAATCAATTTTTAAAGTAACAGTTTTACTAAAGGTAACATTTCTGCAGAGCAGGTGAGTGAAATGCACTGTTTTTCTTCCTGAATGTTATTGTAAGCTCAAGGAAATAATATACAACACCAAGGTCTTTATTCTTTTTTTTTTTTTCGGAACCAAGGATTGAACTCAGATCCTTGCATTTGCCAGACAAGCGCTTATCCTACTGCACCATCTCCCCGGCCCCAGGTCTTTATTCTTGATAAATAGAGGGTATGCATTATTATAGTTCTCCTCCAGAAAGTGAAAGCTACTTTCAGGGATCTAAGATTTTTGCTGAACAAGATTTGTGGTGATGTTTCATAATCTTCTGGGAAGAAAAAATCCCGTATGTTTTCATGATGAACTTTGTAGGGGAAATGAACTGAAATTATGCAAAACTGTTGTCATTGCACAATAGTTCAGGAAGCATATCATCATGCTTATGTTAGTGTTCTGGTGGTATAATGAAATACCTGAGATAAGGCAACTCAACTATTTTATTTTGACTCATAGCTATGGAGGGTCAAGTCCAAGACTGGAGGCACTTTGGGCCTTTGCTTTGGGCTAGGAAGACAGCACACCATGGTGGCTGGGAGGTGGTACCAACTGCTTAGCTCTGAAGCCAGGAGACAGAGAGGGAAGGGGAAGAGACTGGGGTCCCCAGTCCCCTTCAATGGCACACCCCACCATCTACGGACATCTCACCAAGCTTCACCTCCAAAAGGTTCTATCACCTCCCATGATGCCACCCTCAGGACCAATCTTCTAAAAATGGACCTCTGGGGGGCATTCAACACCCAAACTAAAACAGTACTATAACTTGTACAGTCAAACCATTTTGTTTTTCTTTCCTTTTTTTTAGTGATACTGGGGATTGAACTCAGGACCTTGCGCTTGCCAGACAAGCGCTTATTCTACTGAGCTATCTCCCCAGCCCTGTGTTTTTTCACGATCTGTTCTTTCAGGGAATTCTTTTATCTCCTAAAAAGGATATGGGAGGTGCCAATATCATTTAGGATGATTCTGACTCTAATGAACTGGCCAATTAAAATGACTTAAACAATATAGAGATTTATTTTCTAAAATCTCACCATTTGCATTTCACAGAAATTAAGAAGACAATGCTTATAAGACACATCCTGCATTCAGAAATACTGAAATACAAAATATATCTCTGAATCAGAACAAGAGAGCTGAGGAGGTCAGGGCTTTAGGACCGGCTACTTCAGTAGTTTAATGGTATCATCAAGGACTTGGGTTATTTTCCTTTACTCTGCCTTCATAGGCCTTCAGCTCTTGCTTTTAAGGAAGTCTTGCAGATGCAAAATGGCCGCAGCAATCCTAAGCCTTGTATATTCACAATCTCCTAAAGCCAGAAGCGAGGTAAGCATGAAAGTTTTCCTAGACTTGGCCTGTATCACACTGCAGACAAGATGGAGGAAGAAAAGCTTGCATAAGGGCGACTACCAGTGCTTGCACACAGCTGTACTTCAGTGTGACTGCGCCAACTGTCAACTGCAAGCTGCGGGGATGTGACCTGTCCTCTTTCATGTTGTTAGTAATAAAACTAAAGATTCCCTTCAACATTAAGGAATTAACTTCAGGGGCTGGGGAGATGGCTCAGTAGAATAAGTGCTTGCCTGGCAAGTGCAAGGGCCTGAGTTCAATCCCCGGTTCCGCGGAAAAAAAAAAGGAATTAATTTCAGTACTACAAACACTCTATTTTCTGTTACTGTGGCTTTTAGCTACTGTGTCTTAAATCCATCAGTGACTGCCAAACAGCAGACCACCTGACTAACTCTTCCTTTGCACTCAGAGCCTGGGTTCCTGAACAACACTGGGGATTCCTGCCCTGTTTGGTTTGTAATCTACTTCTGTCACTTATAGACCGGGAGGGCTAGGGAGATAACTCAGCAGCGAGAGTGCTTGCCTGGCAAGTGCAAGGTCCTGAGTTCAATCCTTGGTACAAAAACAAAAAACCCCAAACTAGGATTCTTCCCATGTCAATAAATACAGAGCTGCATTCGTCTTGTATAACAGCTATACAATAATTCTGCTGAATGTGAAACTCAAACATACTGGATCTCACCAGCTAAGAGTACAGATGAGATCGGAGTCACATTAGCCCTTCAGTCACAGCCAGTCTGTCCTGTGAGGCTGCTCGCTCTTTGAAGTTTCTCTGCTTCTTTCTGGACTGCCTCCACAGTTATATCTCAAGTGTGCTCAGACACAAGGTCTCTGAATTTTGCTCCAGCTTCACTCCCCAGCTGCCCTGGCACTCCATGGGTTGTGACAATGCTGCTGTTCTGAGCACAACTGTGCTCTGCAGGGGAAGCTGTGCCCTATCAGGTGTGAAAACTACACAGTGCCTGCGGCAGCATAGGAAACTATGGAAAATGGCCCCGCCTACATGCTGCATGGCAACTAGTCTGGGGCCCAAGGCAGCCTGTGAGAGCCTGGATCCTCACATGCCTTCCCAAATTATTATAGACAGCTAAATTAGGTAGAAATATTATTGGCAGTCAGAAAGGGCTAGGCCCTCAAAGAAGCCAGTACAGAAGATAAGAACATATTACAACTGTGGGTGGAGGTGTATTCATTGAAGGCCAGGCCTCAAGACAATGATGGAATGACTACACCTGTATGTTTCCCCAAGTGGATAAACAATAATGATCTATATCCTAAAACAGGCACCAGGCACCTGGGTGGGGGCCAAGACTTCCTTGACCATCCCTTCCACAAAAGGTCCTCATTCTTTCCATGTATACTTGCTATATACCTTGCTTCTCCACTGGAGCAATACTACCTAGGTGACTATACTTGTAATCTTATTGGTTGCCCATAGTTTCATCCCACCCTATACAACCTTGTGATTTTGCTCTTTAAAACTTCCTTAGAGATGTTGGCTTATGGGCAACCCACTTTTCACATCCCCTCCCTGTCTCTCTCAGGCAGGAGCTGTCTTCCTTTCAATAAATATTTTCTGCTCATAACCTCTTTGTTCCTCAGAATTCATTATTTGATTTTGGAGAACATGAACTGGGCATATTGGATATCCAGCAGGTCAGAAATTAAACTATTTCCCTTATATCGTTTGGAGGTCTTATATCATTCCCATAACAAAATCACCTCCTGCAAATTCTCACCCCACTTTTGCTGCTATCACAGGGCTCAGAACAGTGCAGCAGGTACCCAGCACTCTCCTCTTTTCATTTCTAATTTGTCCCCAACCATCCCTGCAAACAAAAATTCTCTTCCCTTCTCTTTTGCCCCTCAAAAATTCTTTTTTTTTTTTCCAAAAATTCTTATATAATAGATCAACTCATTTATGGTGCAGAGAAACAGTGCTGATGGAAACATGACTTCTAAGGGCTAGGATCAAACCCTGATTCTGTCAGTTGTGAAAATTGTGGATAAGTTCCTTCCTCTCTCAATGTTTCTATTTCCTGTTCTGTAAAATGGGAGAATGCTAGTGCTTTGGAGTGCAATTGTAAGGTTTAAAAGAATTAATATACATAAAGTATTCAGTGTAGTGAACAGTACCTGGTCCAAGAGCTAAGGAATCAACTACCATTATTATCTTGCCCACAGCAGGTCACTTGCTCACTTTTTGTTTGTTTGTTTTTCTTTTGGTTGCTGTTTTTTACTAGTAGTTTCACAGCCGGCTTTTGGCAACTTTCTCAGAACTCCCTTGGCAAGTCTCAAATGAAAGCAACTTTGCAGAAAGGAAACACTTTTCCTCAAATAACTTTCATCAAACGTAAAATGAATTAATGATGATTTACTCAGTCTTAGGGCAGAGATAGCCTAATACCAAAACTGGCACTGTGAGGAATGACAAAGCAACAACAACAACAACAACAACAACAACAACAACAAAAAGATCTTTCTTGCTCTTGAAGAGTTTAAAATCAAATTGGGGAGGGAGTGTGCGCCAAATGTGGAAACTACAAAATAAATACCCTCAACATATTTACCACGTACAGAAGAAGGTGAGACTAAATGCCCTAGAGATCATTGCTAATGGGTTGATGGCGTTGGGAAGAGGAGAATGCAGAAAGGGATCTATGGTCTTGGGAATTTAAATTCATTTCCAAATAGGTATAAACTCTGCCCCTTCTTTTTTTACTGTGCTGGGGACAGGCCCTGGCTTTCCTGAGGCAAGGGCTCTGTTACTGAGCCACAGCACTGTTTTTACTTTACTGTGTTTACTTTGCTTTTTTTTTTTTTGCCTCCTTTATTAAGGGAACCCTGGCGGCTGTGGGGCTCCCACCGCAGCTCAGTGGGTTGGACCCGCCCCGGAGACCCTAAAGACGCCCTCTCGCCCCAATTCTTCCTTCCTTGCCCTTCCAGCCTACTACGTCCTTCCCACTTCTTTATTCTCTCTTTCTCTCTCCTGCTGTCCTGGGGGTTGGAACCAAGGGCTTTCATACTGAGCTATAGTCCCAGCCCCTTTTATTTTATTTTAAAATTTTGAGGCAGGGTCTCACTAACTCGCTAAGCTGCCCAGGCTAGGCTCGAAGCTGTAACCCTCCTTCCTCAGCGTGTTGAGATTACAGGCGTGCCCACCAAATCCAGCTCAATCCAATTTTAAAAAGCTGTTGAGGGGCTGGTAAGATGGCTCAGTGGTCTAAAGCACCTACTTGGAACAAGCTTGGCAAAGCACAGGGACCACGGTTCAATCCCCCGGCACCACATGCCAGCCAGCCCCGCCCCCTGGTGGGCTGAGCTGGCCACACACACACACAATAAACAAACAAACAAACAAACAAACAAAAAGCTGTCGACCAGGATGTGGAACGATTCTCAGAATCTCTTTCACTAACTCAGCAAACCATTCTAAATTACCGCAGTTTAATCACAAAGGCTCGGCTGGGCCTCAGTTTCTTCCTTGGTTCCTCCCTTCCAACTGCGCCCTCCCAGGCACACCCAGGGGCCGTCAGTATATTGAGAAGCTCAGCGACTTTCTGGTGGAAGTAGCCTCCAGCTTCGTCTTCTGACCGCTGTAGCTCTCCACAGACAGACTTCTCACTCCCAACCCTCTGCTGTCCCTGGTGGCTGCCACCATCTTACCCTACCTCCACAGTACAGTATCGCTGAGGCGAAGGCTCATCCGCCCCTCGGCGACTGTTGTGAACTACACTTCCCATGAGCCCTCTCTCGATATTGCGAGACTACCGGCGAGACTGCCGGAAAGACCTGTAAGCAGGAGCATTCTCGCGTTCTTTCGGAAGTCGAACTCCTCGTGTGTGGAGGTAATGGCGGTTCTGTCCGTGCCGAGCCTTGTGAGCAGCCTCGAGATTTTTGGTGATGGTGTAAAGTTGCAGAGGCGGGAAGGTGGTTTTTTTGGGGGGAGCTAATACTCAGGGTCTCCTGTTCGTACTTGAAGTGGCGATTATAAGCCTGGGCTTACAGAATTGGGAGGGAAAGTTGAACTTCTGGATAAGAAAATGCTTTCCAAAAGGCGAGGAATTTTTGGAAAAAATTCAGTTCCCTTTTTGAATGGGAGAGAACTGAAGCCAGTTTTGGCGTCGAAGAGGTGGAAGACGGAGTTTCTTGCATCCCGCGCGACCCAGTACACCTCAGCCATTCCTATGTTGAGAATGCAAGCCCGGCAGCCTTCAATGAGGGAGGAAGGGTTCCCTCTGTCCTCGCTCCGGCACTCTGAGGATGGCAGGGTTTTTTTTGTTTTTTGTTTTTTGTTTTTCTTCTTGAGACAGGGCTTACTGTGCTGTGCAGTTGTTCGGGCTGGTCCTTAACTCACTTTGTAACCCAGGCAGGCCTTGAGCTCATAGTGCTCCTCGTGCCTCAGCCTCCCTAGTACAGGCATTTTACAGGCGTGCGTCACCTGGCTAGCAGTTCTTAATCAGGAGTGTTAACAGTAACACTTGAGGGCGACCCAAAACAACTATTTTTGCTTATCGACTACATTTGTTTAATGAATGGGATTGTAGACTCTGGAAATTTATAGCTTTCATGCTGAACGTTTTTCCCCTTCCAGAAGGCCTTTCTTTGACATCAGCAAAAGTAATGGATGGAGACAGGCCAGGACCTTGGTGGTCCCAAAGCAAGCATAGATGGTGTAATGGTCCTTCTGCTTTATATGACCTTCTGAAGTTCAGCAGCATGCTGGTCTACCTAGAATCTCCAGTGCTAATCCTTGAGTGGTAAATATGAGGGTGAGTGCTGGTGTTATTTGGGGCCACTAGGTGTCACTGTTTAAATGAAGACTTCCGCACTTTATTGTAAGGGATGAAAGTGAATGGGTTGGCTGGGCTTAGAAGTTTGTTCACTGGTTGAGCTGAGGATGATTAAAGTTATCCCTGTCTGAAATGACATCTGTGTGGAGTTCTGACTTACTGAGGCTCAACTTTTAAACGTGTTTAAGGTAGTTGCTGTGAGAATGAAGTTTGTTTTCCTTTCAGATTGAAGATGTTGACTGTGGACTTTGAAGGAAGTCATGTGAAAACTCATCTTACAATGCTTACAATGTTGAGTTGAAGGATCTTCATGATGAAATTTCCATAAACGGTAAGACTTCTAGGTATGTGTTGCATAGGATTGCGTGGATTTTGGTCCCCTGTAAGTAATGGTTTGTTAGATTTGGAAATGCATGAGTCTTTCATAATTGTTGATGGCCTAGATCAGGGGAATAGTACTGAATTAGTTTTATTTGCATAGATTTCCCCGTTCCCCAACAGCTTGGCTATTAACATAAGTTAATAAATTGAGGCTTAATGAATTGTCTTGCCCAAAATTATATTTTGAGTCAAGGTCTTGCTGTGCAGTTCAGGCTGGCTTTGAGCTTACTTTGTAGCCCAGGTTAGTTTGGAACTTGAAACTATCCTTGCTTTAGCCTCCCTAGTGCTGTGATGCATGTTAGGTGTGCACGGCCATGCCCAGCACAACCAGTTGGTAAGTTAAATTAGATCCATGGTTCTCAACTGTGGATGGAGGGTGTGCCCAGCATCTAGTCAAGCAGAATATCCTACAACCTCTGAGAACTTAGCAACCTAAAATGTCAGAGGAGCTGAGATGGACAAATCCTTGAAAATTACATAGTAGGCCAGAGGTCTGAGTACTAGTCTTTCCTGCTACCAGATACTGGCATTGGTACCTTGTGTCTTCTTTCGTGCATAGTAAGTTGGTGGTTTCCAAACGTGGTTATGTGTTAGAATCACCTCCAGAGTGCTGTTGTATATGCATTCCTGGACTCCACTTACAGCCACAGAGCAGAATGGCTCTACTTTGAAGCCCAATAACCAAGTGTGTCCTGACCAAGAACAGGCATGCAGGAACAATTAGTTGATCTGATCTACTTTTAGCTCAAGGATTTTATTACAGCAAGATTATAGTGCTGGCTATTTTTAAGTAGCCTTTGAGGTAGATCTCTAATCCTCTGTTTTAAAAAAATCTGGAAGCCACATGCCTGTTCTGCAGGGTAGTTTCATCTACTCTGGTGTGTGAAGGAGAAGTGAATGACCTGGTGATACTGTCTCTTGGCAGGATGTGCTTTATATGCAGCTGGCCTTAATGATGGCCTTAGGTGGTCTGTGCCACCTCAGGCCTTTGATTGCCTACTAAAGTACATATTGCCTACTGCATTTTCAGACACTGCTGAGCGACCCTGTCTTAAGGGTAGGAGTTCTATGTGTGCCAGGTCTGGGACATTGGTTACATCTATAGACACTAGATAGAAATAGCTTTTGACAAAGGAGGAAAAATATCTTACAGTAGACAAGGTTGATGGAAAGTTAACACAAGAGCAGTAAGTCGCAATTTATTAAGAAGAAAAATAGTTTACATGCATTCTTGGCAGTGTTGTGGTCTAGCAAATGGTGGGAGCTGAGTCCATGATGATGAAAAGTTATCCCTGTCTGAAGGCAAAGGCCTTTCTGTGTGGAATGTGGATCTCTGAAACTCAGCTTCCCATTTGCTTGCTACAATATTCAGGCAAGAGTTTAAAAAGTACTGTGTATATCATAAGTAGGTGTTTTCAAATTTCTCTTCTTTCCCAGATAATATTCTCCCTCCCATCCTCAGGGAGCTCCACTGGTTCCAGACCTGGGCCTAGACCCAAAGTGTATGATTCATGTAAGCAGAGAAGACCTGTGAGTCTCAGGTGGGGTGTTCTTTTGCTGGGCCTGCCCTGGTCTTAAGGCTGTGAAAAGTGGCTGGGAGACTTTAACTTAGTTTGGTTTTCTTTGCTAGGTATTTGTGATATGAGACAACGCTGAATGGCTTTGCAGGCAAATAATAAGATGGTTCTCCTGATGTCTGTAAGCTTTGTGTTCCCATCTTTTTGTCCCTAAGAAACCCCACAAACCTATGATGATGGTTAGTTCTCCCTGTCTGAAAATCTCAACTGAGGGGAAAAAGTTAATTCTGAGGTTTTAGCAGTGATTGAGCTGAGTGGACTCCACAGGAAGTTGAAGATGCCAGGCCAAGGTCCCAGTATACTGCATCCTTTTTTCTTTTTTCTTTTATTTTTTGCGGAACCGGGGATTGAACTCAGACCCTTGCGCTTGCCAGGGAAGCACTTATTCTACTGAGCCACCTCCCTGGCCCCTACTGCATCCTTCTGAATCTTAAAAAAAAACAAAGATCTGGTGCCCTGTTAGTGCTGGCCCCTTGATTTATGCTGATTGTAGAATGAAAGAGTGTTTGTCACATATTTCAAGAAAATGAATGTGCTCTTTGAAGCAGAAGTGGGAATGTGTAATACATGCCGGCTTGCAACAGTGAGAATGGTTAGTGACTCTGACCTTGTGTCCTGACATTTAGGAAAGAAAAAGTACATGGCCCTGGCAGAGCTGTTTGGTTTCCAGGTACTTTGTTAACGCTGAAGCCCCTGTATGTAGCTTAGATCCTATGTGAATGGCATTCCTGGCACAAGACTGCTGCTAGGAATCTTGAGGTTGGCACATGAGCAAGAACCAAAGTGGTTTTGTGGGGGGTGCCTTTGTCCTCACTTAAATGCCACACTTGAAGTGAACACAGATTACCCTTTTCAGTTAACATTGGCAGCTATGTATAGGTTTCTTAACTTAAGGACATTTGTTTTGAAGGTCACATTTTTGTTACCCAGGAAGCTACATTTGGGGTGAGATTTAATGAGTCTGAGCATTGGCTCCAGCAGCTTACAGCTTGAAAATAAAGCAAAAGGAAGTGGCGGGTTAGCAAGTGAGAAAGCTCTTTGTTATCAACTGCTTCTGGGAGTAGACTTGGCTGCTCTGTACGACTGTAGTAAACCCTAAGGTTCATGTCCAGAGAAAGTTGAATATATGCTTACTGGGAATTGTTTTAGCACTTAGCAAGAACTTTTCCCTTTAGATAACTCTCCTTAAAACTAGTCATCTTGGAATCTCACCAGCCTGCATTAAAACTTGATTCTGTCCAGTTGTGGTCTCTAACACATATAGCTATAAATAATGGTGCCAATAAAGTCTTAGACTGATCCTTTTTTTCCTTTTAGATTCTTAAATTTTATCTTTTAGCTAGGCATGGTGGCATATGCCTGTAATCCCAGCACTCTGGGAGGCAGAGGCCGAACCAATTCAAGCCTGCCCTGGGCAAGTTAACAATCATGTCTCAAAATAAATGACTGGAGAGTTCAGTTCAGTTCAGTGCAGAGGCCCTAGGTTTAATCCCTACTAACACTGGAAAAAAGTTAGCTTCAGTTTTGAGTTGCTTATTTGGCTGTTTACTTCCTGTTGTCTGGTTTTACAGGTTATCTCCCTGTGCTGGACCGGCTCTAACATCAATAAAACCATCTCCCCAAAATCAAAAAAGTTCCTTAGGTTTCATCTAAGAAAGCTTTGGCAGTTGGTGAAATTATAGAGTACAAGAACATTCAGAATCCAGTTTAAGTGTCCTGCCATGTATAGGAGGGACTGTGGTGATTGTAAATTGAAATTGATGTGTATTATATACTCTGTTGGGAGTCTATAAAGAGAAATGTGTTTAGTTTGGAAACATCTTTCTGGGTGGATTTCTTACCCAGTGTCTTGGTTTTAAAGTTTGAAGCACAAATAAAGTTTTTTTAATTGGCTCACTGCATTGTGGGTTACTTGTTCTTTGACTTTTGGAAGACACATTCTTTGGGTTTTTGCAGGATAGTACTTAACAATTATAGAATTTGGATATTTTCATAGTTGCCTATTAAATGGTTCCCCACTAATACCACTCACAAATAATGCTTTTGTTTTTACTTCAAATTTAATGAAGCATTGTACTGCAGGGATACTGGGCAGTAGGGCTTCTCCATCACTGCAATAGGATGGGATGTCAGGATACCTCACACTTCCTGCACTGCCTGCCTTCTAAATATCCTACAGGTGAGGGACTGTGATGCCAGTGGAAAGCCAGGTGGGAGGCTTTGTCCTAACACTAGTAACTGAATTTTGATTTGCACTTGCTGATTCCTGTTCTCGGGAATGCTATGAGCTTTCCAAGTAGCTACTTTAGTATTTAAAGCCCAAATGTCCATTCTATTGATCACATGTCTGGGTTTCTAAAGATCTGTTATATCTCTGGTGACTTGAATTCATCCCCATCTCTCCTAAGCTTAGAGTCAAGTCAGCATTCCAAAATCACAGAATCAAGAGACTAGTTCCTGGGCCCTGGTCAGTTGGCCCAGGGGGCTTGATGCTGCCTTGGAAAGTCTGCCGACCTGCACCTGGGGAGACCTCGCCCTCTGCTTTGTACTGTAGAGCACATCAAGCTGTTCAAAGCTGAAGTCATATAAGCCAGGCTAGCAGGACTTGGTTAAGGGCTGTGTATAACCTAGTTAGATAAGAAGCTCATAAAATTAAACTGCCTGTCAGCTAGGTAAGTTCAAATAATTGAAATCATGATAATGAGGGTTCAATATCGAGGTATGTCATCTCGGTGACAAGCTGATACCTAAAGGGACCTCATCCCATGGCAGGCAGATGTCCCTGTAGTTGGTACTACACAGTAGGATCTTTCACCCTTGGGTTTTGGGGTGTTTTGTGGTGCTGGAAATAGAACTTGACCTAGGCAAGCACCCTTCCACTGAGGTACCCCTAGCCCTTGTTTGGATTCTGTCTGCCAAATACCCTGCATTTTTTATGTTCTCCACTTCCCCAACAAAAAAAGACAAAATGGTCATCCATCATTTATGCAGTTATCTAGTCTCAAGTTACAGTCTACTTTTTGTTCTACCATTTCATCCCGAAGCAGAAGTTTCATGTTACCAGAGTTAAATGGCTTTGGTGTTTGTGTGGAGATGACATCCGTGGCAAGTTTGGGCTAGGGAGAAGCATTTGCCCTCACCCGCTGCTTGGTCTTGGTTACTGATGGGCCCTGACGGGGCTCACTAACATTCTGAAAGGCTGGGTATGTGCTTTCAGCTTGGCGCTGCTTGTCTCAGGTATACCTGGCTACTTCTTGGGAATGTTCAGTTTTAAATCCAACAAAGCAGTCCACTTTTCCTGTGGCTACGTGAAGATGTCAATCAGATTCAGGAAGGACAACATGGGGTAACCTGCTTTGAGTGGTCTTTGATGTCAGTCACAAGTTCATCCCAGTACTCTTCAGTGGGAAGAAGAAAGTTGCAGACTTCAAGGCCCTCTCAAAGGTTGAAAAATCAAGAAAAAGGTGTTGGCCTCTTGAGTCACAGCTCTGCAAACAGCACAGGGATCTGCACTTTGGAGTTAGCGTTGGTACAGCCAAAGGATACTGGCCTTGTGTAGTTCCCTCCACAGGGTGGCTTCCAGGCGCAGATCATGGTTTGCGTAGAATTTCAGTGGCTTTTTCTGTCTTTCAAAATAGTGGTCAGAGTATTTCTGGTAGTTGCGGGTGATGAATCCATAAGCACTAACCTGTAAAGGACAGCTGAATGAGTGCGGTACTTTGTGAGCCCTAGAGTGCAGCCTGTCTCATAAGAGGAGGAGTTCAGAAAGGCATGCCCCACCCTTATGCAGGCACCTGTGTGAAAATAAACTTGGGTGTGCACTATGCTCGATATGCCTATTGTTCCTTCAAGCCAGCCTTCTAACCTCAGGTAAGTCTTATCCCCACCAAACAAACGGGGAAACAGGTAGATTAAATATGACCCTACCGACAGTAGGAGAGTGTGGCAGAGCTGGGTTTGGAACCTGGGTGTGGCTCAAGTTCAGCAGCCCATTACTCCCTGGTTCCCTGGTTCCCATTCTAACACTACAACTGAGAGGCTGGTCCAGTAAAACAAGGAAAACTCCAGCAGGCACAGTGATGGCATGCCTGGAATCCCTGTATTCTTTGAGCCTGAGGAGGAAGATTAGAAGTTCAAGCCTAGCCATTAGGGACTTAGCAAGACCATATTTCAAAATAAAAAGGCTTTGGGGATACAGCTTGGGGTGAAGGCCCTGGGTTCAATCCTCTTGTATGTGGGGAGACAGGGAAAAAATAGAGTTAGCTTTCATCCTGGATTTTAGGGCTTGTCCTAAAAACTGCAACTTTCTACCTCTTCAAAGTTTATACAGGCAATGTCCCTCCGGCAACATCTCGGCCTGTGATTTCCAAGTTGTGTGTAGAAGACTAAGCCATCCACGTCATGCCACCCTTAGGATGTCCCCATAGAAAGATGTCTTCAGCTTTGTTGAGCTTTTCCTTTCAGAAAAAGGCAATTTGACTTGAACCTTAAATACCACATAGTGAAGGAAGGAAGCTCTGGGACAGGAAGCTGGCTGTGGGGCTTAAGGCGAGGGTGGCCCAGGACCCATTGGTTAGAGGACCCTGCATAGCAGGTACACAAACAATATGGCAGATGTTCCCACCACTGAGGAGTCCTTTGTCGACAAGATACAGGCTAAGAATTCTTATCTGAGGTTGACTGTCGGAATAGCAGGGGACATACTGAGTTCTGTTTACATATACCGGTTGCTGCCAGGGACTCCTGGAATTGGGGCTCCTACCTTGTCACAGCTGTGCAAGGCTGTCAGCAGCATGAGGGCCCCAGTACTAGGCATGTATATATCTTTAAAACCTTTGTTAATCAATTCTGATTTCAGAAACCTGGAAGTAAAAAGAGGCATTAAAACCTGAGAAAGACGATTCAGGTACTGCCAGGTGTGGTGCACACCTGTAATCCCAGCCCTTGGGGGAGGCTGAGGCAGGAGGATTATGAGTTTGAGGCCAGCCTGGATTATGTATCTTGACCTTTCTCAATAAATAAATACTAAATAAAAATCAGGTGTTGCTTACTAGCTTGATGGTTGTGCCATTCCATTTTATAGTTGTCCAAACACACTGGAAAACTTAAAAAGATTTCTAGCACTACTACAACCTAGCCAACTTCCTTTCCTACCTGGGGAAAAAGTCAAGTGAACTCCTAAATGCAAGCCTCTTGAAAGAATTCCCTTATGCAAGGTACCATGAACAGGAGGAGCCCCGATAAAACCCTTATCCCTTTCCCTTGTGCAACACCCTATCTTTCCACCCCTGGACTGTTAGGTATCCACAAACCCTGAGAATAGGTGGCCTCTTTATTTGGTCTGAGACCTAAATTTCTCTACTCCACCTCTTGACTAAACAGGGATCACATAGAAGACAGTTTTCTCTTGGTCTGGACTTGGGACGGTGCCCACCTGCTCCAGCCTTAGACCTGGATTCGTGTCTAAGCTTGGTCAGGCAGGGCATCTGCACTAGCTGAGCCTTTCCTCCTGCCGAGCGGGGCTTCCATGGCCTCCCCAGATCCACTCTCACCCCTCTCCATCTGCTCCCTGTCCTGGGCTGTTTGCCTCCTTGGTCTCAGCACAGCTTTTCAGCCATAGAACTGTTGACATTTGGGGCCACAGTTTCTTTGTTGCAGGGCCCATCCTGTGCACTGTAGAATTTAGAGTAATATCCCTGGTCTGTATCTACTAATGGCAGCTCCTCCTCCTGACAACCAAAAATGTTAATCCTGTAGTACTAGATACTGACCCCATCTGCCCTCAGCATTGTGAGCCCTTGGTTCCGGGAGGGACAGAGGGCAGGAAGGAAGGAAATGAGATTAAGTGTCCGTTAGTCCCCCAGTTTCCTCCCGGGGTCACCTTAGGCTAATACTGCTTCTAATACCCACTACTATCAGAATTTCCTGTTATTCTGGCCACTAGACCACCACCTCCATCAAGGTAGTTTATTTAAACTAATAACAAATAATAGAAAGTGCTTGGCACATGGCATTTGTTTTCAGGAGTTAACAGTGACGGGCTCCTGGAAGGCACTGCAGGGATTGGGGGGGCTGATCTTCCTGCTTCCCTCCCTCATCCCCTTCCCTGCCACCATACCTCTCTTTCAGGTAGCTGATGAAGTCTGGATGCAGTAGCTTGAATTTACTGGCAGAAGCTTCGGGTCCAAAGTAGGTCTGAGGCCTAGAACCCATGTTAGAAGTGGACAGAGCGCCCATCATACTGCAAGTTGTAGCTGGAGGGGAGAGGGCTGGCTCTGGGGCGCTGGTGGAGGGAGCGGTAGGCTCTCGGTTGGGAGTAGAAGCGGGAGAAGGGGGTGTAGAAGGTGGCCGGCAGCATAGAGGGCACCACGTGTGGCTTCCCCTTCACCAGGACCTCGATGGGTGGGCAGTAGGAAAGGGAAGATGGGGGTATGAATAGGGCAGGAGGTGTGGGGAAGGAGCAGTTTATAGATGGGAGGTCAGGGGGTGGGGGAAGGAGGGGGTAGTACAGGGAGTCGGGAGGTGGTGGGCGCTTTGGGGCAGGGCAGGGAAAGTCACAGGGAAAGCACCGGTTTTGGGGAAGTGAAGATGTAGGGGGCTCAAAAAAGGGGGGCTCCTTCAGGAAGCGGGACACATAAGGGGTGATGTAGGATGGGATGTTCCTAAAGGGCCCAATGTAGGAGGCTGAAGTGGCAGGGCTGTAGGAGGGAGACCTGGGGGTTAGGGAAGGATTTCGAGAGAGGGGTTTTAAGCCAGACTGGGAGGGAGACTTGGAGGTGGGTGGTGTGCTGGCTTGATTAGGGCCTCGGGAGGCATTCTGGACATGGGGGCTGGGGCTCAGGGAAGAGGACCGGGAGTGGGGCTGAGAGGGGCTTGGGGTAGAAGGGTGGGACGGTGGGCGGGAAGAAGCCCCCCGGTTAGGGGAAGGTGCTGAGGCTCCAGAAGTGGCATAAGGCTGCTGGCCGGTAGGGTTAGCAATATGGTTGGAGCGGGACTGGGAAGGGGATTGGGTGGGGGATGGATTGGGGGTATGGGAGGAGGAGCTCATTGGTGTTGGGGAGCCTTATGTCCACCTGATGTCTCTGAGGCAGCGCCCCCAAGAGCCCAGGCCCTCCAGGCCCGTGTCACAGAGCCTGGCCTTGTGACTGGCAACAGAACTAAGCAGCAATTGTTGGGTAATCATAAGGGCGGGGCAAGGGCTGGCCTGGCTTGTGCCACCCAGCCCAAGAAGTCCAGCTTGGAAGCTGTTCTTGCCAAGCACTGTGGCTCACACCTGTAATCCCAGCCCTCGAAAGGCTAAGGCAGAAGATTTACAGATTTGAGCCCAGCGTGGGCAATCTGGGACTTGGTGAGACTGTGTCTCAGAATAAAAGAATGAAAAAAAAAAAAGTTGGGGTGGAGGGGCCAAGGTATGTAGCTCAGTCTGAAGGACCTGGGCTCAACCAGTAGGATTTCTAGGGCAAATAAACCAATGCCCCCCAAAACCCTTCTGTGCTCTTTGGGAAATGGATGAGCTGTTCCGCAGGCCACTGGGAGGAGGCTGCTTGGCTCCGCCACAGCAGTGGCACAGGTGTCTGAGCTCCTGATTTCAGGGCCAGCCCACTGAGAGGCCCAGGGGTAGCCTTACACCAGGCCCAGGACATGGTTCACAGGAGCTGGACCCATGCCCACTGCTCAGGAAGGTGGGAGAGAAGGCACAGTGATCTTTCTTCCCACCTCTCAGGACACTGGGCCTACCTCGCCTGTGCCTGTCTCCTGGGCGCCCGCCCACCAGGATGAGTGCTGGGTCGTGGCCCTAAGTCTGAATGATACGCACAGTGAGCTCGGAGGCCCAGCTGAGAAAGGGCCTCTGGCACTGTAGCCACCTGTCAGCGTCCCTGAATGGCTGACTGGGCAGGTAGCAGAGCAGGGCTGAAGAGCCAGGTGTGCTTGTCCCATTCAGAAAACCTCCCAGCCCAAAGGAGCCCAGTAGGATCTCTTGGGCCTTCCTCAGGCTAGTCAGAATACAGTTTTTCAGTGCTGAATCATGGTGAATGATTTGGGGCTATCAAGTTCTTAGGGATTTTCTCATTGCCCTTCACCCAGCTTCGTTACCTCACCATGGGCCTATGAGCAGGGGACAGGACCCTATCACAGCATCACACCAGTGCCTCTGTGGCTCACCTGTCTCCTGCATCTGGGCCCTCAGGCACAGGCACACCCAAAATGGCTGATCTTAGCATCAGGTATTCGCGGATGCTTGAGGGGATGAAGATGTAGCGCAAGTCCTGTCAGGATGAAGACCAGGCTAATTCATCTGCTGCTCAGAGGGAATAGCCCTCCCCTAATCTTGGCACCTGAGCTAACAGGAGTTTATCTCTGTCTTTGTTCCCACTTTGAGGTAACATGGTGATTTCACTGTATGTTCAAAAGTGCTTTGAAACCCCTCCCTATAAGAGCTAAAGCCTTACCAGGAGTGGTACTGTATGCCTTTAATCAGTCACTCTGGGAAGCTGAGACAGGAAAGTCGCACGTTCAAGCTCAGCCTGGGCAGCCTAGTGACTTAGTAAGAACTGTCTTAAAGAATAAAGGGGCTGGGGAGATGGCTGAGTGGAATAAGCAATTCCCTGGCAAGCTCAAGGGCCTGAGTTCAATCCCCAGTTCTGCCAAAAAGAATTGGGGAAAATTTTGAGAGGTGGTGCTCTGGTACCTGCTTAGAGAAACAGTTTTGACAATTGTTTTCCAATGAACACAATCACAGGATGCTGAAACAAACTTTAATTGTTTATATTATATTCAGTCAGCTTAACTTTGTTCTATCTTATTTGAATTGAATTGTGCTAGGCCAAAATACCAATAAAACGTGCTTTTCTCTGGAAAAAAAAAAAAAAAAGGAATGGGAATGTAGCTGAGGATGAAGGCCCTGGATTCAATTCCCAGTGCTGGGGTAGAAAAAAAAAAAAAAAAAAAAAGAGCTGGATGTGGTGGCACATGCCTGTAATTCCCACCACTTGGGAGGCTGAGGCAGGGGGATTGGTTCAACCTCCAGGCTAGCCTGGACTACAGAGTTCAAGGCCAGCCTGAACTGTATAGTGATACCTTGTTCAAAAAAAAGTTTTTCTAGGAAAAACAGAAAAAGTAGAAAGCAATAATAGCATGTGACTGTGGAGATTAGGTCATAAAAGTCACCGTGGCTTCCTTGCTGTAGTTGAGTGAAGCTGACATGTTGTGAGGACTCTCAAGTAGCCCACAGAGGAGCCAAGGACCTGTGCGAATACCATCCTGACCCAGCTCCCACAGAGGCTTCAGATGACGGCAGCATTACCGCTGGCTGAGAGAACTTGAGCCAGAACCACTCCACTAGGCCACTCCCAGATTGCCAAGGCATTGAAGTGGTAAGGCTTTTTGTTCAATGATTTGGAGTTAGTTGTTACCCAGCAATATATAACTCATGCAGGTGCTGTGGCCACACTAGAAACAAAACTGCCTCATTTTGTTCTATTGTGAGCTACCAGGTCACTAGGGAGGCTAGGACTCTTGAATGCCGTGGTCAGAGGAAGAAGTGTCTAGAAACCCAGCCCTGCCTTGTGAAGCACTACAGAACCCCTTGCTTGGGATCTCCCGAGTCCTGCATATGACACCTGGAGTACTTGAGGTGGGAATTATGGATTGAGGGCAGGTTGGTGTGGTTGACAAAACTTAAGGCCAGCAGACAGGTTCAAAGACTGGTTCCCACTCACTAGCTATGACTTGGGCCATGTTCCTTACTTTTTTTGCATCTGTTTCCTACATAGGGCTATTGTGAGAACTACATTGTTCTTCTGGTCGGCCATGTGGAGAAATAGAAGTCACTTTAGTGGGTGTGGTGTGACCAAGGGTCTTAGATTTTGATGTCTAGCTAGGTGACCTTGGACATGTTCCCAGATTTTACAGTGTCTGAGTTTTGCCATCTGGAAATGGGTAGAATTGTCCCACTCCTGGCTGCTGTGGTGACCCCTCTTCCAAGGGCAACTGTCAAATGCCTGGTATGTTATCAGCACTCAGTAACTATAAGCCATCCATCTTCTGTGCTCTACAGAAGGCCTGAGTGGCCTAACTATGTCCATGCCCTGTACTATGCTGGGCACAGCAGAAGTCCCCTGTGCACAACTCCTACAGGCTGATCTTAGAGATTGAGCTCTTGCCAGGTGCAAGGGCACCAAGCTCCCATCTCCCAAGGGCACCTGTCAAATGCCTGTTATGTTATCAGCATTCAATAAATATTAGCCATCCATCTTCTATGCTCTACGGAAGGCCTGAGTGGCCTGAAAGAGTATGGAGTCATTGACTAGCTCCTCTTCCAGGTTCAACAGCTCCATCCCAGGCAACCAAGATCCTGGCGCTATGCTACCTCTTTCTGTTCACTGGAGGTGTGTCTGGAAGCCCAGTGGTCCACCCCACAGAGGGACCCCAAGAACATGGTACCCATTGCAACCACAATGATGTGCCCAGTGGGGCCTCACCTGTCCTTGTGGCACAGAGGTAAAGCCCAGGTGGTGGTAGGAGAGGAGGGAGTTCTTCATGGTGTTCACAGTGAAACCATAGAAGGAGATCTTAGTGCCCACATCACGCTCGAAGCCTTTGATCACCGCTCCGTTGAGTCTGGCCGGAGCAGAGGCCCATCAGTGTCTTTGTAGTTAGACTACACCATCTGCTTTACTTTATTTCCGTTGGCCTTGCCTGTCCCTATACCCCTCACTGTGTGTTCACAACTCCCTCTGCACCTATGTCTAGAAGCAAGCCCAGCGCCACCCCTAGCCCTCCACGGATGCTCTATGCATGGGTAAATCTGGCCCGGTAGTCCCTTCCTCCCTGGCCCCTTTGCTCATGGGCTCCCATGTTGAGGGTCTGCTGAGCTGTCTGTCCATCGTGGCTGCTCAGGCCGCCACACTGCTTAGCCTCTGCAGCCCTGGCCTATGTCCTCAGGAAAGACACTCACTCCCTGGGACAGTGAACAGCAGTTGTCCACACAGCTCTTCTGCCCCTACTCCCTGGCCTCTGCCTGCGTACCTGAACACGTAGTCATGGGCATCAATATTCGGACCCTGCTGGGACCCATTCAGAATGCCTCCGTTACCCACCACAGCACACCGGATGCACTTCAAAGGGGGATCCCTGGAGGGGACAAATAGCTGTGCGCTCTCAGATTTGTTCAGGAGGCTCAGGGTGGAGACAATGGCTGTGGGCGAGGACAAGGGGAGGCCATGAGGAGGGCTGCCACCAGGGCCATTGGGATCTTCCCAGCCCACTTCACCCAAGGACTGGCTCCAGCCCCTCCCAAGAAGCACCAGAGCTGGATGGTGCATGGGGGTGGGGTTGAGGCAACTGAGGGAGAGGAAGTGGCTTTAAGAACTTCAACTAAAGGTGAAGGTCTGTGATCCCAGCACATGGGAGGCTGAGGTAGGAAGATTACCACAAGTTTGAGGCCATTTGGGGCTACAGAGAGAGCTCAAGGCCAGCCAGAACTACATAGAAAGAGCCTTTCTTTAAAAACGAACAAAACAATAGGGCTTGGAATATAGATCAGTGGTATAGTAGCAAGTGGGAGGCCCTGGTTTTGATTCCCAGTAACGAAAAAACAAATCCCCCATAAAACCCTACATAAAGCAAAAATTAAAAATGTAAAAAGGGCTGGGGTGTGGTCTAGTGGTAGAGCACCTGCCAAGTACATGAAAGGCCCTGAGTTTGACCCCCAGAATCGTCTGCAATAAAGAACTCAACCAGTCCACTCAAGACTATACATTACGAGGGCCAGGGAAATAGGTCAGAGAACTAAGCACCTGCTTAGGCAAGTGCAGGGACTGGTGTTCAATCCCTGGCACCACATGCCAATTTGGCCTTGCCCCTGACCTTGGGCTTGCTGAGCCAGCCATCAAGACCTGGGGTGTTGGCACACACTTGTAATCCCAGCACTGGGGAGGCTAAAAATAGGAGGGTCGTTAAGAATCTGAGCTGCATAGTGAGAACCTGTACCGATTACATGGGGAAAAAAAAAGACTGCGCACTGCAGAAGAAAACAATCTGAGGTGTTCGGGGAAGTTTAACATGGGAGGCCTGAAATGTGACAAACATAAATAGGTCTATTGAGGCCCCTTGGCCTCTGTCCTCAGGCCTCTTTGGACAGTGGGCACTTTCATGCAGAGAACCCTAGGATGGTGAGACTGGTGAGTGGAGACACCGTCAGTTTCCTGCCTGAGCCCTGGGTGCTTGATGAAGGAGAGAGAGGAGGCAGGATTCACACAGCTGGGGGTCTGGGAGGAGACAGGGTCACAGGAGGCTCCACATCACAGATGCTGTGGGGCAGCAGACCTGGGGGAGGAAGGACTCAGGAAAGAAAGCAGAGGAGAGGCAGCAGGTGGTGGGTTACCTTGGCGGGAGAGCCCCTGCCAGCCATAAGGGGCTTTGTGTTGGCTCAGACTGTCCCAGAGCTCTGAGGTAAAGAGGCCATCCCACAGCAGCACTGGAGTGGAGAGATTAAAGCGGGGCCGGAAGCGGCGGTGCTGACTAACAGCCAGGGAAACCGAGTGTTGGCAAAGTTGGCTCTGTGAGGGAGAAGATAAAGAAGGCTGAGCCCTGGTGTCGGGGGAGCCTCCCAAAAGCCCACAGACCCCACAGGATGGCTGAGCTACTCTCCCTGCTCCAGACTGGAGCACCCCTGCATCTGCTAGGTGAGATGTCTGGTGGTCCAGCAGCCTGATGGGGGCCAGAGAGCCTTCTGGATTTAGTCTGTCCAGCCCCTCCTCTTCCAGACACCCCCTCTCCATTCTCTGTGGGGTCTGGCACTACACTTCTTTCCCTCACAGGTGTCAAACTTTGGGTACTTTCCAGTGAACAGGTATGACCATCCCCAGGTATCTGGCTTTGGCATCCACCAACCTGGATCAAGACCTTAGTTCTGAGAGTTGTCCTTGTAAGAGTCATATGTGCAAAAGGGTTGCAGGAAAGATTTAGAACCAAACCTCCATTTTTTTTTTACCCCCTATTGATATCTATATTGAACCCACTGAGCATTCCCCAACCCCCAATACTCAAGTACATGTAGAACCTCAGGGTGTGACCTTATTTGTGGACATAGTTAAGATGAGATCATACAGACCTAGGTGACACCCAAACTCCAATACCTTAGCCTTCTTAAAAGGAGGCCCTGAGAAGGCAAAAAGAAGACCTCAGGATGAGGGAGGTGCACACTGGAGTGTTGCAGCTCCAAGCCGAGGGACTTCAGGAGCCACATGAGGCTGGGAGGCCTGGGAGGCCTTCTCAGTTCCCTCAGGCTAAGCATGGCACTGCCAGCACTTTGGGGGCTTCTGACCTTCAGAACTTTTGGAGAACCATCTGCTGCTTTAAGTCACTCAATCTTTATGGTCATTTGTTCCAGCAGCCACGTGAAAGAAACGCAGCACCTTCTCACTCAGCCTTGGCCCAGGAAGGGCTACTGTTACTATTGACCAAGGTTCTTTGTTAAGCGTTGGTTTGGTCAAAGGAAGCACAGGAAATGGCTGTGAAGTCATTTCTGCTGTAATGCAACAGAATGTCTAAAATGTCTAAAATTCACCATACACCTCAAAACCATGCAATCAAAACCACAGGGCTTATGCGGAGATGGGACAGCAAAACTCTCAGAAACATTGTCCATGATGTGTACAACTAAGGAGAAGGATTCGAGACAGAAGAAACATGCTGTGTGGTTAAGAAACACAGAACTTTATCTTGACTTGAGATTTGTTGGTAGAAGCGGGTGATGGAAGGACAGCAGCTTGTGAGTTCTTGTGAAATCAGTGGCAGGTTTGTGTAAAGGAGAAAGGAAGCAAGAACAGCAGGCGCGGCTGGGCGAGGCCACTGCACACACAGCGAGCTGATGGGGTCTCAAGGGTTGTGTCTGTGTGCTTTTTGTGCATGCATGCTGGGATCTGCTGAGTTGGTGCGATTTCTGCATGTACCTAGTGTTCTCCCAAACACAATCACTCGGAAGCAAACTCAAAACTTATGTGATGCTCACATTGTTGATCTATTAAAATGTGAACAAAGTCACGCTTTCAAAGCAGGCATCGTCGCAGGATGGACTACAATGATTTCACTCATTTGTCATAGGGGTGCTTTGCAGGGGGCCCACCTTGTGAGTTTCTAGGAGAAAAATCTTCAGGTCTCTAAATCAGGAAAGGCTTTCAGCTCAGTAGCAAGATATCTTTGTTAGCCTCGGCCGCCACGCTCAGAGCCAGATATAAGGCCCATCTCTTCCATCCTGGGGCATGCTTTACAGGCACTTAGCTAACACTGTCTTTTTCCCCCCTGCCTTTTCTTTTGTGCTTTTCCTCATCATATTTTATCTTGTATCGGACATGGCTGCAGTCATCTTAAATCATAACTTTCATAATTGCTCCAAAGTAACCCTCCCCGGTTTTTCCTGCATAGTTTCTAGCAAAGTATAAATAGATAAGACCATAAGAGTCACATGTAGAGCTTTGCAACTAGAAACAGGCTCCAGGGATGCACCAGACTGGTTTATGTTTGATATTAACATAAACCAGAAACATTTCAGTCAGGATGAAGTCACCTTTGTTATATTCTTTAGGTCATATCCTTTTTTTGTCCCAAATAGAGGGGATCCCACTGATCTTCCTGCCACCACCCATGATTCAGTCAGAAAGCCCCCCAACCAAACCTGCCTTTCTTTTTCAGCTTCACACACCTTGTGGCCAGTGGCCAGTCCTCTTACACTAGGACAAAGTTGTCCTGGAATACTTTGTCATATGTGTCCAAAAGCTACCACAAACCCTTGCTTTCCAACCAGGCAGAGAGATACGTCAGCATCAAGTAACTTCAGGTAGTACAGACTTGGGAAACTTCAAGATGACCTAGTGCAACACTCTTAAGATGTTTGAGGCCTCTTTTCATCCTGCTGGCCAAGTGTCCACTGGCTTCTTGACACAGGTGCCCCATCAATGCCGGGGCTCCTGACCCCATTTCTGAACTTTTAAAAAAAATGTATTTATTTATTTATTATTTTTTTTTATTTTAACATTTAGTGTGTGTGTGTGTGTGTGTGTGTGTGTGTGTGTGTGTGTATGTGTGTGGCCAGCTCAGCCCACCAGGGGGCGGGGCTGGCTGGCATGTGGTGCTGGAGGATTGTACCGCGGTCCCTGTGCTTTGCCAAGCTTGTTCCAAGTAGGTGCTTTAGACCACTGAGCCATCTCTCCAGCCCCTAAAAATGTATTTAGTACAGGGTTTATAGGGTCTCACTACACAGATCAGACTTGTAGTGATCCTTCCTGTTTTTCAGCCTCCCAAGCGCTGAGTTTACAGGTGTGTGCCACCATGCTCAATTGCTGTCTCAGCACACCCCGGGGGCGGGGCTGGTCCAGCAGGCCCGGGGATCGAACCCCTGGCTCCTGTGTCTGCCTGAGCAGGTGCTTTAATCTGCTGAGCTATCTGGCTGGATCTCTTGAACATCTTGACTGTTACTAAGCTTTAGGCCATAGTGAAGTCTTTCTGCCTGAGGCCCCAGTCAGTGTGTCCCAGATCAGCCTCTTGGGCATTGTAAGCCACTTAAACCCACACTAACCCTGAATGACATAGTTGTTGCCTACTCAGTCACAGTGTGGAGTCAGGGTGGCAGGGGAGGCTGTGGCTCACCTGGTGCCCAGGCGTGTTGTATGATTAGAGCAGGGCTCATATCCCTGACTAACTTAGTGATCCTAGCTATTATTATTATTTTTTTAATTAAAGGATGTTTTCTTTATTTAGTTTTTGAGACATGGTCTTGCTATCTAGTTTATTTTTTATTTATGTATTTATTTAATTTTATGTGTGTGTGTGGGGGGAGGGCCAGCTCAGCCCACCAGGGGGCGGGGCTGGCTGGCATGTGGTGCTGGGGGATTGAACCGTGGCCCCTGTACTTTGCTAAGCTTGTTCTAAGTAGGTGCTTTAGACCACGGAGCCATCTCACCAGTCCTCTTTATTTTTATTTTACTTTATTTTATTGAGACAGGGTCTTACTGTGTAGTTTGGACTGGTTTTGAGGCCCAAGCTGGCTTCAAACTCACAATGATCTTCCTGCCTCAGCCTCTCAAGGGCTGGGGTTACAGGCGTGCACAACTATGCCCAGTATGAGTGAGCCTAACTTCTCTGTGCCTCAGTTTGTTCATCTAAAAGGGTTCTCTCAGACTGGGCAGATAGCTCGGCAGTCTGAGTGCCTGCCTGGCAAATGCAAGGATCTGGGTTTGATCCCTAGTACTGCATGCTGTGCCAGCCCGGAACCCCAGGTGCGCCATGCTGGCCACCAAAACCAGGAATGGTAGCACACACCTATAATCCCAGCACTGGGGAGGCTGAGACAGAGGGATCACTATGAGTCTGAGCTGTGTATCGAGACCCTGTACCAAACAAACAAATAAATGAAAGATTTTCTGAAAGGGCTCTCTTCTTAGATGCTGTGAGATTTGAGTGAGAGAACAGATAAAGGGCCAGGCAGGACCTTGGTGCCTGTGGTCCACACTGGTTGTTATGCAGGGTTTTGGGTCAGGCCTCAAGGCTCTCAAGCCCTGAGTAGACACAGAGCATCTTCCTGGCCCTTGGAGTTTACACTATGGGGAGCAGTTTAAGTGGGACTTGGAGGAAGAAACTGTCTGGGGGAGGAAAACATAACATCCACCTGATCTTTTAAGCAGTATCTTGATTCCTAAGAACTTTTCAATAGTGACGCCCCACAAGGACATATTTATTCCTCCTTCTCTGCTATTGGCATACAGGAAACCCTAGTGGTCATCTCCAGATGGCCAGAGAGGATGAATGCTGGTGGAGTTTGGGGCCCAGCAATCTGGAAAGAAAAGCTTCTTTCCCCCACTTTCCTGCTAACTGGAGGATGCACAAAACTGCCATGAGGTGGCCAGCCACTGTACCTTTCTGGTCCCAGAATTTGATGCCTTGGGTCCAAGGAATTCTCGAGGTGTCATGATGTCCCTGGGGGAGAAGGCAGAGGTAAAGCAGGGGTTCGATTCCGCCCCTCAACAGGTCCAACCTACCCCTCAGGAGCTTCTGGACTGACTCCTTAGCTTGGGGACCACAAGGTGTCCAGCTCATTCATCCATGGTTTAATCTTGCATATATCTCTTCTTTAGAATGCCACTTCATTATGTGCTGCCCAGCTACATAGACCTCCAAATTAAGGGAATCCTTTAGTGAAGGGGCAGAAACATAGGGACAATGGAATGGTCAAAATACAGAGCAAAGATTGCTAGTCCCTGGAATTGTGATGATCTGTGGCATTGCATTCCCAGAGGCAAGCATTGGGTCCCAGCCCCCTCAAGGGAGGTGTGTTACATGTCCTGCTTGGGGGCATGGCTTGAAGCCTGACTCTCCAGGTGTGCACCCTGGCTCTACCACCTGCCTGCTGTCCAGTCATGGGCAGTCACTGAATGCCTTGGAACCTCCTCATCTGTACAACTGGGAAGACAAGGCTGAGTGCCTCTGTTGTTGGGAGGAGTCCAACAGAAAGTCCAAATCACTGAATATGAAAAGTGCCCTCTGAATGTGGGTTATTGTTACCCAAAGGAGGAAAGCAAAGGACTTTGTGCCCACCTCTTTATTATTAGTCCCTTTTGGAAGGAGTTAAGGGGCTAATGTAACTGGCTGCTCTGTGCCCCTAGTTCCTAGACACTAGGTAGTGGCCCCAGCAGTAGCGCAAAGGAAAAGCAGAAAGGAAGGAATAGGGGTCCCTGGTCCATTCAAAGGGTAGCCAGGCTGCCCTGACCCCTCTGTTGCTCCTGCATCCCCTGATGGGGAGATGTGGGGACTTGCAATTTGCAAGGAAGACAAAGGCCTCTTGTAGGTGTGAGCCACTCAGGAGCCTGTGACCTGCCTTCCTTTGGTTTCCCAGACTTCTTGTAAGACCCTAGAAGTGCTGGCCAGGAGCAGGGATGATCCTTTCCCCTATCCTTTTCTCCCTCTGACCTCCACAAACGTGGTCTGAACACCTCTGAGGAGGAGCTAAGGCATTGAGCTCACCCGACTGTCTATGAGAATAATGCACTGAGGCTCAGCACCCCTGTATTCTGTTTGATGCATTCCACCCGCCTCCTGAATCCCCACCAGGTGATTCCAATGTGCAGGCAGACTGGCGAGCTGGGTAGAAGAACTGCTGTACAGGACTGATTTGAGACAGCTAGGGGACATAGGACCCCCTGCACCCCAATTGGTTTTGTTGCCTAGAACTCTCCCAGGCTCCAGGAAGCCTGATGTTTCCTCCAAGTGTCCTTTGTAGTCCCTGACTTCTTCCAGGAATCCAAGTGCTTGCAGCTACCTGGCTGGGTGCCTGGAAAGGCACAGAAGAGGGCTGGCCACCTGTGCCCCTCAAGGAGCTCTGACCAGCCTAAGGAGAAATAACAATGTCAATCATTTTTCAAAAAATAAATTTGCTCAATCTATCTCATATTCTTACTAACATTGGGTCCTAGAATGTCCCTTTCTTTTTTTTTCCATTTTTTTGCAAAATAACGTTGACAATAGATGCAGATGTCCCTATGTTGACTCACTTGTCTTTTACAAAAAAAAATTTTTTTTTTACAGACTTAATTCATTTTATTTTTGCGTAAAAACCCTTTATGTTGTAGCTACTGCTGGAGCTTGAGTCCTTTGGACAGAGACTCTGGTGTGGGTTTTCACAAGATGGTTGGTGAATTCCTGATAGGGAGACTTGGTGAACACAGTCTCTTTCCAGAGGTCGGGTCAGATAGCTGTAGGTCTTGGAGATGACATTAGAGGTGGCCTTAGCAAAGTTGCCCAAAGTAGCAGTGCAGCCCCTAGCAGAGGTGTAGCAGTCATCAGTACCAGCCATCAGGGGCAGCTTCTTGGGCACAGGGGCTGAGATGATGCCAGTGCCTCTGGGGGCAGGGATCAGATGCACCAACACAGAGCCACAGCGGCCCGTCATCTTGCAAGGAACAGTGTGGGGCTTGCCGATCTTGTTTCCCCAGTAGCCTCTCCTGACAGGGACAATGGAGAGCTTGGCCAGGATAATAGCCCCATGAATGGCAGTGACTACTTCCTTGGAACACTTTACACCCAGGCCAACATGATCGTTGTAGTCCCCAATGGCGACAAATGCCTTGAACCTGGTCCGCTGGCCAGCATGAGTTTGCTTCTGCGCAGGCATGATCTTCAGAACTTCATCCTTGAGAGATGTGCCCAGGAAAAAGTCAATAATCTCGGACTCCTTGATGGGTAAGGAAAAAAGGTAAATTTCCTCCAGGGACTTGATCTTCATGTCTTTGACCAGACGCCCAGGTTGGTGACAGGAATCCACTCTTTGTCCTCGGCCTTACCTCCGCGAGCCCCATGGCCTCGGCCCCGGCCCTGGCCTCTGCCTCGCCCGCGACCTCAAAGGCCACTGCCAAAGCCTCTGCAGAAGCCGCAGCAGCCTCCCATGCCTGGACCCCCGGGGCCTCCGGCCCCTCCCGCTGCACCGGCGTCATCCACCATTTGGTGTTTCCCAGCAAAACAAGCTACAAAAAAGTTTTTTAAAAACAGGTCTGGAAATCTTCATGTCTGAGAACCACTGAACCACATTCCCCTGCGAGTAGATTTTCAGACCGGATTCCTCTCTCAGGTGCAGTAGGAGGCCCCTCCCTTCCTGGGCTCCAGGGAAGCTCTCACAGCCCAGCACTCTTCTTCCAGGGCTGTCCCTGCCCTGTAGCCAGTCAAGTCAGTTTGAGGTCTCTAGCTGGAGCTCACAGAGGCTGCTGGTCCTACCCAGCATGCCATCTGCCTCTCATCCTTTGCTCTCCTGGAGTAAATATTCACCTCCCACAGGTAGGCTTAGTCCTGACCTGCCCAAAGTTTAAGGTACAGCACAAATGTCACCAGGGTCTTGAGTCATACTAGATTTTGAAAAGAAGATCTTAATTTTGTTTCTCTCCCAAAGTTCAGTGGAGGTATAATAAGCCTCCTCATAAGGTTGTCTTAGGTACTTCCTGGATGTTAGTAACTTCAGGTATTAGCTGCTAGAGTAACTTCCTACCAAGGAGACTAGCCACAGAATCCTCTAACACATGTTTCCCATCACTATGCAACTGCATGTGTTCTCTGTATCTCAGAGACGGTTTTCATTTGCTCCCTCTGGGACAAACGTTGCCAAACAACCTGTAAGTGCACAGGTGTGAAGAGCTAGGATCTCTACAGGAGGCTGGGGGTGCCCTTCTGGTCTCCCCAGCTCGGATTTGGGTACAGCTTGGTCTGCCTGCCAAAAGCTTAAGGAGAAATCGTGTCCAGGCTTCTTCAGCAACTGGAACCATGGCCTGCCAGAGACAGGCCCTCAAGTTGCTCCTCATGGGGCATGAAGGAAGGATAGGTGCTCAGAGCAAGCCGCAGGGATCTGAGGGCAGGAGGAGGTACCGGCAGGGGGCTAGGCCCAGAACTGGTCCCTGTTTCCCTGGGAGTCCTTTGCAGGATCGCAATGGGCTTTTCCAGAACTTAGTAGAGCAAAGAGGCGGGAGAGGAGGGAGGGCAGAGACCGGTGAGCAGGAGAGGTGACTGGACCCCTTGTGCTGGGGAATCTTGGCAAAGTTAGAACCTGCGGGACTTGGGTCCCCGCCCAAGAAGTACCCCCCCACCCAACCTGAAGTGATGGAGCGCTCAGGACTCAAAAGGAACGTTTTATCTAATGCAGGGGACCTATCCAAATTTTGACAATAGAAAGTTTCTGCTCAGGCCTGGAAGGAATGAATTCCTGCGGGGCTCGGGTCCCTCTGAGACTTGTGCAGAGGCCCTGGTGACCTGGCAGGCAGGGAGATTAGCGCTGGGTGGGGACTCTCAGGGACAAAGTGCCGCGGCCCCCTGCGAGCCATCGCGGAGGGCGGGCTGGAGGCTGAGGGCGCCTGACAGAGCCATGGGCCGGCGCCCTCACCGCTTTCCCTTGCGCCTTCGGGGTCAGCGCCGCCAGCCCCTACCTGACTCCCGACCAGAGCTCCGGGAACGGCTCCACCGGCGAGGAGTACAGGGCCAAGAGGGTCCCCGAGCAGACGGCGACGAGCAGGAGTAGTAGGCGGAAGAGTCGGCCGCGTGGGAGCCCCATGCGGCCCCAGCTCGCGGGCGCACAGCGCCCTGCCCGCCTGCCCGGCGTGGTCCGCGACAAGGGGAGCGGCCAGAGTGAGTCGGGCGGTCCGCGGAGGTTGTAGTCCTGCCCTGCCAGGCCCTGCCCGGCCCTGCCCATCCCGCGCTGCCGCTGCGCCTCCCCGCCCTACAGCTCCCCCTCTGCCCGGACCAGGGCGCCAGAGGTCGCCGCACCTTGGGAACAGCGCAGCGCGGGCAGTCCCGAGCTGCTGGAGCGTCACCCCAGGGTGGAAAGCCAAGTGCGCCCCCCAGGGGCTGCACCCTGCTGGGGGACTTCGACAGCTGGCGCCCCGCCCCTGCGCGCCGTCCAGAACACGCTCCCCGGAGGCCCACCCGGGGCTGGGCAGGACGCTGTCCCCGTGGGGGCCAGGGCCAGCGCTGCCTCTCCAGGAACGCTCTGGGCGCGGGGAGACGCCGCCACCTGCCGCGCCGACTGCGCACTACGCGCACCGGCCGGGGCTGCCGGCTTTTTGACGCCATAGGCAAGCGGGCAGCCCGCAGGACTTCCCTCGGAAGGTCGTCAAACCTGTGGGTTCGGGCTGTGGCGGTGTGGTGCAAAACCTCAGGTGAGGGACCCGTTCAGTAAAGCAGCTGAAGGAGAGGAGGAGGATGGAGAACCCCCACCCCAGCTCAGACTCAGCGTAAAGTAGGGAGCCTGTGCCCAGAGGGTGGGACAAGACCTGCACCCTCTATTAGGTGACTACTGGAGAAGTCAGGGCCCTCATCGAATCGCGCTTCTTTTACAAAAGGAGGCCAGCTGGAGAGCTGAGCAGCAGGGTGGCCCTAGAGAGATCCAGCAGGGACCCAGCACCAACCGGAAGTGTTGGGGACCTCAACACCTGGCCAGAGAGGCAGAGCCCTCCCTGGAGGGGAGTAGTGGGCAGATACTGTAGTAGCCAGTCCAGGATCCCGCAAACTACCCCAGGTCTCCCTGCCTCAGAAGTGTACGAGACTGAGAGACAATTCAGGCATAGCTAGGATATGTGCCTGATGGCGGGGCTTCCCAAGACGCTCCCAGGGGCCTGCGCCCACGGTCAAGAGTGAATCTTTCAGTCAGTTCTGCCTTGTCCTGTGTGGGCTGGGTCAGGATCCCTGGACGACAGTCCTGCTAGGCAGCCCTTTAACACTGCTGGATAGAGATCCCTCACCTTGCTACCCTCTGATGGGCATGACCCATATTTCCCTACTCCTTGTCTCATCTATGGGTTTTTGTTTTTCATTTCAATCTTTGTGGATTTGTCAAAATTCCTGTAGATATCACTTACCCCAATCATAACAGTGTCGTGTATTCTATGTGGTTTATAAGACCTCAGACCTTCTCTCTGAGTCCAAAATTCCCTGTCTGCTTGGTTTCACTAAGTCCCTTCCCTCCTACTTCATGCAGAGAAAGGGAATCACTAACCAGTTCTTCAACTTTTCATCTTTAGACCTACAGATTTAGACCCACCATAGTCCAGCCTCTCCCTGCCACGGGAGTGCTCTCCAACCTTGTGGAGTTGGCCCCCATATTTGTTAATGGTTGGGTCCATCTTCAGTGCCCCAAGGCAACGCCCATCAGACCCAAGGCCTGGGTGGAGCTGGGGGGGGACCTCCAGTCCCTCTCACTTTATCAGCCCTTTCTTCACTGTGTTCTTCTTCCCTAGGAAGGGCCCCAGGTCATAATCTGAGCTACTGTTTCATCACTAACCCAGATTCCCTGCTATTCCTGGCTTTCTGCCCAGGATCAGGGGTTTATCCTCAGATCTGCCCTTGGTGTCCTCTCCCTCATTCCCGCTGCTATGCGCCTCCCAATCATTCTTTTCTCGGGCCTCCCTTTGTCTTTGCTCCCCCCCACCTTTGAGAAAACAGACACCTGGCCCCAACCACTGTCAAGAATCAAGAAGGGGGCTGAGATTTTCACTAGCAGGTTTGCAACCGGAATGCTGGCAGATGCCATTCGGTTCCATGGTCAGAGACAAAGAGCTGTATTGCTTTCTTGGTAAGGATACAGGCTTCAGTTTTTGTCTGTCTGTCTGTCTGTCTGTCTGTCTGTCTGTCTGTTTGTTTGTTTGATAATACTGGGGATTGGACCAGGTGGCTTTCACTGAGCTACATCCCCAGTCTTTTATTTTGAAACAGGGTTTCTTCCTGGTGTTATTGCACCCCT